TATCTTTATTGTGTTATTTTGTAAATATGTTAATTATTAATTCTTTTTATATATATTTTTTTTTAATTTAGTCTTGTACTAACATATGTATACCCTCCTGATCCTAATATTCAAAATCCCGAAAACCCTCCTTTTCTTTTCCTTACGTTTCCTAACCTTTATAATAATTACAAAATTGGCTAAAATGCACAAACAGTGCGAAGCCATACAAAAAAAAAAAAAAAAAAAAAACTAATGAATGGCCGAAATGGAGAATTTCACGGCCGTACAACTTTTGAAAAAATGTACTTTTTTTGTAATATTCTTCCTTTTTAATGCAGGACCAAGGCTACTAAGTTCATACAGGTTTTAATACTTTCCTTTTTAATTTATGTTGAATGTAAGTGTGACACATTCTACTGTTTCATGTTCATGAAGTGTTTGGCGCATGGAGGTTAGAAATAAGGAGAACGATCGCTGTAGAAAATAGTGTCCCAGAAATATGGACAAAATGTAACCCAAGTGAGGCACTGCGATCGCTAAGTTGTCTCAATAAAAGCAATACTTTGAAATGACCAATGCCACGAAGAAAATTTGTACAATATTCAACTAACTTCATCTACTTGTAGCATAAACAGCTAACTTCACAGATACTCTTAAAACTAAATTCAACATCAGTCTCTCTCTTTCATTCTATGTAGAGAATGACAAGGATACACTGTTGTCAAATTTAAGTTTAGGGTTAGAGAATCATGCCAGAATCGATACCACTGCTTACTTGAATAATGAACTAAAAATTCTACAAATTTTCAGGGCAGGCGGGCGTAGAGAGACTGAGAGATGCTTTAGTACGTAACGAACGATCGTTGCGTACTTTCTTGTTTCTCTTGTTACTTTTCTACTTCTTCTCCCTAACCTCCATGATTTGGCGCAAAATGTATTATTAAAGATCAGCTTTCTGCACTTATGTGAGGTGAAGTTGACGTGATAATTATATTTTTTTAGTGCTGTCTGCACTAAAAAAAATACCTAATTATAAAGTATTATTTGTCTTTCCATTACTGAGCATACATACATGACAAAATAAATAAATCGTAAGACAAAATGATTTGTGACTCAGTGACCACGGAGAACCCGCGAGCTCTGCTATTCTGTCACATCCACATCACAACCTTTCCAAATAACTATATCGTGTTCGCTTATGGAGACACAACACAATAATATACTAGGACATAACAGGAATTCACAGGATCGAAGTAGCACCCGTGATCTACACAATATCAAAGATTTAGCCACCATAATTCGGTCTCAAGGCATATCTAACGATTAAAACTCAATGAGGGCTACCGTTTTCTGCCTCACCAGATGGCGCCACTGTTGAGTGAGGTCCTAAATTGTAACTTTTAAAGTTTATTAATACGCACATGAAATCAAAGGTTACATGTAGATCGTATTTTAACACAAAAGAACCATATCCTAAACATAATAGGCCATGCCACAGTGACGCGCAGTTCCGTTTTATTCGGAGAAAATGGGAACATAATCATTTTTCTAAGCTCAAATTTTTAATAACTGACATTCATTGCCACATAACTCATATTTGCCATAATTAAGCCGAATTGTTACCAATTATTCACAACATTATTTTAATTAGAAATAAACCCGCGTAGTCAACCAACAAGCAATAACATTTGACATTTCGGAGACCTCACGCTACACTAGCGCCTCTAGCGGCGGATTCATACGCGATAGCCCTCATTGCACAATAAGTTATACTTTAAATAAAAAGTAGCTATACCGTACATCAGTCTGTCGTCTGTATCTCTAACTAGTCTGTGGTCGTCTCTCTGTTGTCGCTACGACACGACACGTTAATATGATTCGGCTTAAAGCCTCGATGACACGGGGCGAGTTTACAAGCTACATTCAAGCGAGTTCATTAGCTTGGAAACTCGCCCGGTATCATCGAGTAGCAGATGGTAAAAAAGCCGATGACACGGGGCGAGTTACAAGCAATTGACGACCTCCGTAGCCGAGTGGTTTGTACGCCGGGTTTCAAGGTGTCGCCGACTCGAGAGGTCCCGGATTCGAATCCCGGTGGGGACAGATGTTTGTGTGATAAATACATGCATTTGTACTCCAGTCATGGATGTCAAATATGTATTTCTATATAAATATACTTATTTATGTACAGTACATGTATTCTATCCGTTACCCTAGTATCCCTTAACACAAGCCTTACAGTGCTTACTTTGTGGCTAGGATAATTGGTGTAAATGTTGAAAAAAAAAGCTGCTAGCAAACTCGCTGGCTTGTAGCTTGTAAACTCGCCCCGTGTCATCAAGACTTAAGAATACATATTATAACGATTAGGTATCAATTTGAAGAAGGGTATTCCCCGATTTCATAACAATATATGTAATGGAAAATTCCGTGCTCATTTCAATCGGTCCGAACCATAGCTATAAAGATATGAAATGAGTCAAATATTTAGGAGTCCTTATTATTGTTATAAAATTTTGCTGCCACCTAAAAGAGCCGCCCCTGCTGCCCCCTCCTACGCTTCGCCACTGGGTTACACTACACCCGCACCCTTTGAGCATATATATATTCATAGCACCGCACTCGATGAAATTACGCCAAAAACTCCGAATACTATTAAAGAACTGACTAATTAAATTACCTATACAAAGAAATCGTTCATTTACCGTTTCAGTCTTGTCTTGTCTAATGATGACTCACTTAAGATCCCTTTCACATTTTTTGCAAAATATCGTCAAAATAGCGCCTGGCCCTTAGATAAGATTTTGACTATTTCCGATAGAAGTAAAAAGTATATTTATTCTTCTTATTGTAAGTTAATGTAGAATATTTGCAAATACTATTTTCCTTTTTTGTACTAATAGTTCTACCGCAGCTAGTTTACGGAAAAAACAATAATATGCACAACTTCAAACGCCTCAATCTCTCATTAATGTTCAATAAACTATATCAAGTTAATTACTGCTACATCAGAAATGTTTTTTTTTAAACATAATGTATTAGAATTTTGATTTTCCATCTTATTAATAATATCAAAAAACCATCTAACCTCCCTGAGTTTTCCCAAAAAATAATGCAGGTTTACCTCGTATTTTGATATTGAATGAAATAGAATTACTATCAAAAACTTTTATAAAACTAATCTACCATCATTGAACTACTGAAATGTGTATATATATTTATTATTAGTTCATTAATAATTATTTAATAAGACTCTAACATTCACTCGTAAAATGCAATAGTGCTAATTTACGGCAGCGGCGCAATTTTGTAAAAGGGCTCTTAAGATTAAGAAGTCCATAAGGACTAATTTATTTTGGGTTCATGCACGTATGTTCATATAGCATTGTGCATTTACACATGGTTTATTACCTGGATTGAGACTCGGGATACTTTTTATCCCGGAAAAATATGAAGTTCCACTGGGATGGCCTAGATTTCCTCCTGCCCATTCTAGTTCAAACTTCGCTGGGTAGCGACAGTGCCTGGCAAACGACTTCTGCGAGAATGTAATCTCGCAGAAGGAGGCCACGGAGAGTCCGCGAAGAGCAAGCTCAAGCGGACTCTCTTCGCCGTTGAAGGATGGAGGCTAGAAGACGGCGACACCCGATTTCTTGCACTCCCCGGAAGAGGCCAGTGAATTCCGGACTTGGGAGGTCCATTCTCTACACTTCACAGGTTTGTATTGATGATTGGGGTTGCTCCTGGATACCCATTCCTCAACGAGAGGTAGGGTACGACCAGAGTGCACTCAGATTCAGATTCAGACTCAGAAAACAAGCGCGAGAAATAAACAGTGTAGTTAAAGCAGGGTGGCCATAGTGGCAGCAGGCAACCTGCTTAAACTACACTGTATATTTCTCGCACTTGTTTTCTGAGTCTGAATCTGAGTGCACTCTGGTCGTACCCGTAGGACCACTCGTATCTGTCGCCTACTAATGGGTCGCGGAATCTACGAAAGGTTTTCCGAGGCCTATAAAATTATTTAAAAACTAGTGGCCCGCCCTCGTTTCGCTTCGGTGTAGAGCTGAAGTGTAGACTATAGTTATTGTTCTCAGGCCTGTATATATACACAATGACATTCTTCTTATACCTACCGCCGCCGCGACCCGTGTCGAGCGCGTCAACCGTTACACAAAAATAATCCTTTTATAGCATGATTCAGTATTCACGTGCGACGGCGCGATGGCTTATTTCATGTAAAGTTTGGTGTTTCTATACCGATTTCTAGGATTCTTTTTTTATGGAATAGGTAATAATGTTAACTTTTTTAAATTAGGGATGAGTGAGAGTATTATAAACGTAAGAGTAAACAAATATAATCAAAATACTCCGAACTGCAGGAGATACACGTGTTATTGTGAGTCAACCATAAAAGATAGACATATGCTGTTGCGGGATATTTTTTAGACAATTCTATGTAGAATATTTCCGTCATACATGATTTCAATGTAACTTTAACCATTAAGGCTGCACACGCAACGGAAGCTAAAAAAATGGAGTAACTTCTCCCGTTTTCCCAACATTTCCCTTCACTACTCTGCTCCTATTTACTGTAGCGTGATGAAAAGTATACTATAACCTGCCCAGGAGTATGAAGAATAATTGTACCAAGTTTCGTTAAAATCCGTCGAGTAGTTTTTGTTTCTATAAGGAACATACACACAGACAGACAGACAGACAAAAATTTTACTGATTGCATTTTTGGCATCAGTATCGATCACTAATCACCCCCTGATAGTTATTTTGAAAATATATTTCATGTACAGAATTGACCTCTCTACAGATTTATTATAAGTATAGATATCCAGTGCCGTAGCATTGCTACGTCAACTCATTCTGAGCAACTCAACTAACATTGAGTTAACAGTAGATTGATCAGCTTGTAACTTATTTTTTTTAAACAGCCTTTCAGAAACTGAGTAAAATAGGGATGCCATTTTGTACGGGACAATAAAGTTAACCAAGCAAACTGAATCGCGGGGATGCCCGCGCTAGTATTTTTAATGGTGAACAAGTAAAACTGATTTTTAAAATGTCATAAATATTCTTTATTATATCACAACATTAAAGGACAACACTGTAAAATAATAGACACTGAGAAAGAAACAGTATAAATATGTTCTACATGAAGGTAGAGTGTTGGAGCCAAACTGTAACCTTGATCACTGATTCAGTTACAAATATTTATTATTATTTTTTAATAAAGTTAAATAACTCTTGAATTGGGTACTTCTCTGGTAAGTAATGATGGTAGCTGACTAGAATTTAAACATTTTGCTCAATAGTAATAAGACATTCTGTACATTTGTTCCTGTAAAATGTGTTATTGTAAAACACAATGTTATTGAAAAATTCTCCGACATTAGTTGTTTGTACTGGAAGAGTGTTCAATACATCAAACATGTCACTACTCTGCAATTTATCACATTCAGTGTGTATAGAATCTAAATATTTCAGTGAAGATTTGTTCACAAAATTGAATAAGACAATACTATCACATGCAGTGAATCCAGTCTTTTCAAAACATTTCTTGGATATAATGTACAAGATACTGACATTGAAATGAGTCAACAGATTAAGGTTTTGCACTACCAGCGTCTCACCAACTGCTAACATTTTCAATGTAGTCATTAAAGTATTTAAACATCTTTTCTCAAATACACTATAACATTCAGAATGGTCAAATTCTGGCAGGCAAAGCACTTTATGATATTTGATATTTAAATTACTTAATTTTGCTTGTAGTGATAGATTACTAACACCTTTACTGAAGATAATTTCCTTAAATTCATCTTCTGCCATGATTTGTTGATACAATCTGAATATTGGCACAAATATAAATTTAGAACTGTTAATTTTTTGTAGAGGAAGTCCATTCGTAAAGACTAAATTTAATACATAATGTTCTTCATAAAATGAGAGCCATTTAACTTGTTCATTGATCAAGATTAAAGGATTTGACAAAATTTCAGCCTGCAGAAAAGAGTTCAAATTTTTTGACTTCTCCTTCAATGATGACTTTGTATACAACTGTCGCTCAGTATATGAACCTCTGTGATATCTAGGATTCATGTTCACCTTGTTCTCTTCATGCAGAGCACCTTTCAAAATCTCTTGGTCTCTTCCTAATTGCTTCAGACCATACTGCCAAATAAACTCTGCGGCTACGAGTGCCCTTATATGCTTGATATCACTATGAAGAGCAATATTTTTCTGCATTAGATAAGCTTGAAGGTTATTATTGATAACTTGACACTGCATTGAGCAGAAATAAGCAGCACACTCCTCTATTTGTTTCAAAAAACTATCTGGTATCAAGTCTAGTGGAAACAATGCCAGGTTTCCATAAAATGGTGTTCCAAAAGCAGATTTAAGGATAGGTAGATATGTTTCCAAATCTTCTATTCCTCTATACTCTAGACATACAGCATAGACCTCAGAGTTACCTTGACGTGATGTCACCGGTTTATAAATATTAACCTCTGTAAACAGGCCATTGATGAAATAGAGCAGACTCACAGTGAAATGCTCAAATATTGTAAATAACTTAAAAATAAATGTTCCACCTGAAATGAGAAAAAGGACTCCATTAAATTTATGATTGAAACAGGCAACAATATTTTCAATTGCATTGGAATTATTAAAATTGTATTATATTTATATATTTAAGACCCACCAGGGCTAAGAGCCTGCAGCGCAGTGACAATCTCACAGTAGTGCAGGGGTGAAGTGACTTCCTCTTGTGCATCTGGCCTCTGCATACAATCAATAGAACCATCAGCGGTCACCAACAGCACCTACATAAAATTAATTATGCTTTAGTAATTGCAGATGGAATTCACTCAAATCTGAGTGGCGGAGATTGGAAGCAGCATTTCTCCAAAGATTAGAGCATCGGCTGGACATTCTGTAGAGGCTGGGGAAAGCGTTGTCACTGACACGCTACGTTTACAACAAAAGAAAAAAAAAAGAACAATTGTAAACTGGTAGTTTTAATAAAGGATTCTTTATTTTATTTTTATTAATTGCAGCTTGCAGTCAACAAAATAATATAAAATATATTAGTATACCTTCCCCAAAGATTTGACTTTTTTCACAGTAGCCTGAGAGTTTTCCCAGTTCATAAGGTTTCCTGTGTTATCAGCACCAAAATCCCAATTGTTCAGAGTGTGAAACATGAATCGGTCATCACTAATCATACTGGATGGGGAGTTGCCTTCGTAATAAGGGTTTAAAGTATTTGCTACCCATTTCCACTACAACAAAAAATATTATTACAATGGTGTCGATTCTGGCACGATTCTCTAAATCTAAACTTAAATTTGACAACAGTGTTTCCTTGTCATTCTCTATACAGAATGAAAAAGAGAGACTGATGTTAAATTTAGTTTTAAGTTTAGAGAATCACGCCAGAATCGACACCAATGGTGTCTTGTAAAAACATAAACATATAGTACTTGAAAAAGTAACTCACAGTAATGCTTGGGTAATTTAATTTTAAAAAATGATTCAATGAGGTTATAAATGCACCGGGTGCTTCACATAAATGCAGTGACACCATCTTTTGCTCAACCATTGCCTGTTCTGGTATTATTCTGTAAGTAGAGGCACATTCGTAAAACTTTGTCCAAGCTTGAGTTAGGAACTCTGGGTTGATCAGGCATCGAATTTTCCATCCCACTTCACCAGCTGGATTTCGTCGCCTCGTATGACTACTCCACTCTTCAATGTTAAAATCATTTAACTGACTCTTGTGAAAGTTCAAGCGGGATTTCAAATTTTCTAATTCTTTTACCTTCCAAGGCGGAGAAGAAAACCAGTGATTTAGATCCGGCAAGTTCCAGTGGCTATCAAATCTAAACTGAAACTTTTTATTGAAAAGATCATTCAGTTCATCTTCAAATTCTCCGTTTCTGTTGCAGCTTGATCTTGGAGGGAAAGAGTAATTATCAAAGGTTTGATACATAGTAAAAAAATAAGTTTCTATCTCTTATTATTCAGGAGTGATCTAAGATGTTTCTTAAACAAAAAGCTTTTTTTTTACATTTTAACTATTCCCAAATGGAAAATAGATATTCAATAACACTGCGCTGCTATTTTATCGTTCGTAAGATGCACGCACTCGTGTTTAGAATTTTACACGAATATAATACAAAGATAAACGCTGTTTATTTATTGTTGATATCACGTTGATATTGGTTGATATACGTGAATTGAAACGTATGTAGGTTATATCCAGTGTTGCCATATGCTGAACTCACAGACTACTTAGATGCAACGTGATGAACTGAACCAAAAAATCGGAAGCGTAAAGAGTATAAAATCTCTTAACTGTCTGTGGCCCAAGCACGAATTTTGACAGCTCCGTAATCGTATCGCATCGTCAAAGTTTCTATGAAAACTAAGCAGCACCCCTACTGGCCGTAAGAACAAAGTGGCTCCGTCCATACAAAATTTGACGATGACGATCACGATGCTGTCAAAATTCAATGTCGTACATGGGCCTCTTTATGGATGAATTTAATCGAATAAACTTGCGGTAGTTTAATGAATAACTAAGTTGTCAAAAATGTAATACATGTACAAGTAATTAAGAATATTTAATATTTTTCGCAAATCAACTCGCATGTTTTTATTTTCTTTGACTACTTTTTCACTCATTAAAATTACTAATTCACTAAAGAACTGACTGAACAAAACATTCTGGGAACATGCAAATATTAAATAAACAACCCACAAAAACCGAAATTAGACACAGATTTTAATTTATGAGCTTTGCTCTATAAGGTAGTTTTCCAATTACAGCACTAGAGCGCATTTTGCGGCATAATGCTTAACTTTGAATGTTTCAACTACAGCAACGCTTCGCACAATCGAGCACTTTCAAAAGTAATGCTTTCGTGTGATGCGTGCAATAGTACCAACTCAGTGACAGAAAATTAACAAGTATTTTTTCTTTCAGTTGGCATTCATCAAAATGTTTTATTTATATATTAACGTTAGTAATATTATTTAATATTAAAAAAAAAAAAAAGCTTTCGTTTCATTGCAGTTTTTTTTAAATAACCAAAGTTTATTCAAACTGTGTTAAAAAATAAATATAAATATGGATGAAGGTACAAACATTGACTTTTTTTTCAACACTGCTACTTAGCGCACTCTGCTGGTGCATTTGAAAACTAATTCACGTTCCAATTTAGCATCAGCATAATTCGGCATTGTGCGCCACTAAGTCGCATTATGCTCTGTAATTGGAAAACTACCTAAGTCTACAATTATTAAAAAATCAGTCGATATGATTAACGATTCAAGTTATAAGCTGTGGATGTTTTGTCATGGCAACATTAACGAAACGGGGTTGTGGATTTCCCGAGATATCTTTTAACTCCTCATAAAGATAAGGGAATTCCTGTGTACAAAGATCAAAAATGGGGTATCGTCTGTCAATTTCTAGCAAGCCATTTTGACTCTTATTTGTACGGTATCACGGGCGTAACCTACTTGCAATCGATTTGACCCTCTTTCGTTAGGCGTATTGATAGATACCTATCGATAGTCACGAGATAAAAATAATGAATTGTCGATAGATCGACTAAAATTGTGGTGGTGGCATTTTAGGGTGAGTTTATGTTTAGCTAATTTATTGTTACTGTTTTAGAGTGGTAGTTTTACATATTACAAAATAAAATAAATTCATGCTGTAAATATGGTGAGAATGGCTAAGTAAATAGAGTGGTTTTCTTTTTTTTTGGATTTTATAGTAAGTCTTCGTGGCGCTAAGACCAGGACCCACCTGCCGATTTTTTATTCCTGATATAAGATCTCAACATACGCGTAGACACTTACTTATTTAAGCGTAAAATAAAAATACCTGAGGAGGAGGATAACAGGAGTTTCGAGTGATTAGTTATCATAATATGATTATTTTTATCCCCTTGGAGAAACCTGCCCCTCTAGCATGACCACCGAAACGGGATATGATAAAGCGATATATCGACATTAACTGTCAGACTACTTCTTCTTCTTTTTAGAAAATGGCGGTGCACTTTTGTGGATTTCGCCAGACTTGTCAAAATCCATAGTAGTCTGACAGTTAATGCCAATATATCGCTTTATCATATCCCGTTTCAGTGGTCATGCTAGAGGGGCTGGTGTCTATAAGATCGATTGCAGCTGTGGCAGTTCGTACATTGGCCAAACAAAGCGAACAGTATCATGCCGAATGAGGGAACACATAAAAGCAATCAAGAACAACGATACGCAGAAATCAGCCATCGCGGAACATTTGATTCTGGTCCTAACCACTAGATTGAGTTTCATAACCCACAGATTATCTCGACAGAATGCCACTACATACCAAGATTGGTCAGGGAAGCGATTGAAATAACAAAACATAAAAATTTCAATAGGCTAGTTGACTCATGTCGAATTGTATTAAATAAATGTTTATTTCTTACAGTATTTGATCTAAGGAACCTAAATATATCGATTTCACTTCATAAAAGCAGAAGATTGCTGTAGAAATTTAATTTAAAAAAATATTTTTTAGTCTATATTTTTTAAACACTAAAAACGCTGTTCGCCACATCCGCCATGATTGTGACGTCTCTTTCAGTAAACAACTCAATGTCATTCGCGTGTTGTTATGGGTGGATTCTTTAGTCTGAATAATTTTTTCTTAAAACACTTTTAACTTTAGAAAAGTTTACGTTTACTGTTTTTTTGACAAAACTTATTATGGATGCCGGCTTTATGAAAGCAGAAAGCACAAATCTGCCAAGAATTGACGCATTGATGGTTGGTGAATTTTTTGCACTGAACCCCGATTTCTGCTCTGCGGAGCAGAGAAACGACAAGGCATCTATGTAAGTAAAGTGCATTTAGTATTACAATGTAGTAATAAACATAAAACTGATACAACATATGAATTAAGTGTAATAAAGTTGCGTAGGTTAATTTCTTTCGGCACTTTAATCCACAACATTCCTGGAGTCTTCAAGGATGTGTTTTTATATTCTCGTACAATACAATAATGAAAATTACTTTATTTTTCGTGGTATTTATTAGAAATCATGTTCTTTTTATTATAAACTCAGATAAGTTATTTTCTACGTGCTTACGAGTTTTTGTTTACTACAGTTGACATCATAGCATAGACAATCTATAGACTAAAATGGCCGACAGCGTTTTTGTATGTCCATGAAAATTCTATTTTAAAATTAAAGATTTGTAGCTTTCTAGGTCTCTAAAAAATACAATACATTTTTTTTTCGGTCTAATAGAACATTTATTAACCATTTAAAACCTTATTCCAAAAAGGGTCAACTAGCCTATTGTGAGGACGGGTTTAAATTGTCGAGTGTCTGGAATCCTGTGGTTCGTATGTGTAAAACCGGAAATAATCAAAAAAGTGTCGTGTCGCGATCCGAAACTGTAAGTGTTGTGTGTTGAGAACAGTTTCGAGTGAATAGTGAGAATGTGAACAATATCGAACGCACTAAAAGACTTCGTAGGAGGGTAGACCGATATGTCTGCCAATAACAGCCTACCCGCAATTACTTCAGTTACTCCGTGATCATGGCGCTTTCAACAGTGCCGAAATATCGGAAACTCGCTAAAAACAAGGTACATGGTAACAATCCCGTAAATAACTTATATTACTATAATGTTAGTGACCATGAAAGTTTAAAACAATATATTCTGGACGTCTTCAAGGCCAGAGTGAACAGGCATCTAGGCAGGCGTGTACCATTCTAGGCCTCATCATCGCTTTCCATCAGGCGAGATTGTGGTCAAACGCCTTGCCTATTAAGCATAAAAAAAACTTATAAAACTACAAGCAATAGGCATTCTGTTAAAAAAAATATCGAAGATAAAATCGACCCAAAAAGAAGTTATATTTTTTTAAAGTTGTCTTATCGTTGAACTTAAAAAAATACGAAAAAAAAATCTAACTCGAAAACTACGCAAAATCGTAGAACATACATGGGGGTTAAATAGATAGGTATGGTACTCCGCTATCAGTTCGCACTGGCTTGACACCCTAGAGTCCATGCATCCTCTGCATAGGGGGCTGTCCGTGACACCTAAGTTAAAAAGATATCTGTTAAAAGGGGCATGTCCGGTACTAGCACCTGTTACCATGCTTAATGTAGATTAGCTTAGCTGTAGAAGTCTTGGAGAGGGCAGCGTTCACCCGTGGCAAAGCGAGCTTGGTCTGCCTACACGTCTCCAGATCGAGCCAGTGTTGCTGGTGTAGTGCAGCTGTGTGCTCGTGGATTTTATTGACGAGACGACTTACCGGTACCGGCACGATTGGTTCGGGACCTGTTAGGGTCGTATAGGATCCCTTCCAGGCCAGCTCATCCGCAGCGTCGTTTCCGCGTGATCCACTGTGTCCCTTGATTCATTAAATAGTAATAGAATTGCTTGACCCTACAGTATTTAAGGTTTGTTGGCATTCTTGTAGGAGGCTCGATTTGACTAAAGAGTCATCTAGAGCTTATAGGACTGATTTGCTGTCGGACAGTATTCGTATTTCTTGTCCTGTTACATTTCTGGAAAGGATCGCTCTTGCCGCCAGTATAATGCCCTTACATTCAGCTTGGAAAACTGTGTTGTACGGGCTTAAGGGGAAGGTGGTGTGTATATTGAGGTCCTCAGAGAAAACACCGGCACCAGTGCCCGATGAGGTTTTAGAGCCGACAGTGTAGATCATGAGGGCATGGTTGTTACCTTTGGCTCGTTGTAATGACGCTTAACTTGATCACGGAACGAGTCCAAAGTGCGAACCCTTCTAATGGATTCCGGTAACCACAAGCAAATGCACAGAGGAGTAAGAAAGGAAATCAGTTGAATGGCAGGGTATTTCCAAATTGAAATTAGAAGACGAGTGTAGAATGCATTAGGAAGTGGATGAGCGAAAAGAGAAGTATTGTTTTAGATAATATGGAGAAGTAGGTAAGAAAAGTACAGAATAAAGGAGCGTTAAGGTAGTCTTCCAATTGCAGCACTAGAGCGCATTATGCGGCATAATGATTAGCGTTGAATGTTTCAACTATAGCAACGTTTCGCATAATCGAGCACTCTCAAAAGTAATGTTTTCGAGTGATGCGTACAATCGTACCAACTCAGTGACAGAAAATTAACTAGTGTTTTTTTCTTTAAGTTGGCATTGATCGAGATGTTTTATTTATATATTATCGTTAGTAATATTATTTATTGTAGAAAAAAATTTAAAGCTTTCGTTTCATTATAGTTTTTATTTAAATAATCTAAATTAATTCAAACTGTGTTAAAAAAATAAATAGAAGTATGGATGAAGGTGCAAACATTGACTTTTTTTTTCAACACTGAACTTTGCGCACTCTGCTGGTGCATTTGAAAACTAATTCACGTTCCAATTAAGTATCAGCATAAGGGTGCGGCCAGAGTGCACTCAGATTCCGATTCTGAAAACAAGCGCGAGAAATAAACAGTGTAGTCTAAGCAGGTTGCCTGCTTTTTCTCGCGCTTTGTTTTCTGAGTCTGAATCTGAATCAGGAGTGCACTCTGGCCCTACCCTTCGACTACACTGTTTATTTCTCGCGCTTGTTTTCGGAATCTGAGTGCACTCTGGCCGCACCCTAATTCGGCATTGTGCGCCACTGAGTCGTATTATGCTCTGTAATTGGAAAACTACCTAAGAGTATGATGCGCCGGCGAATAGGGAACCAGTTGAGTTTCGAGCGGGTGTAATACGTGGTCAAATTATTAATTAGTTTAAGTTATCACTTCTGTCGTGCATCCCGAGACACATGCTTTTTTTTGTTCATAGTACTCCTTCACTTATTTATGTAACTTCATCTTCATATCTAGTTGCACCGCAGGTGTGGATGTGGGTGCTGTCGCAGAGTTTTTGATCCTGCCCGAATAGATACCAGTATTTTTCATCAAATACCTATTTTTGGGTACAAATATACCGATTTTATTGGGCAGCTCTACTGAATTCCCACAATAACGTTCGCAATCATTAGATGGCAATACTGGCCTCCGTTCAATACCTTCTACGCGTTGAGCGCATCATTTTTGACGTTTAAATTTTGACATCAAATGGTGTCTGACATGATTCTCTAAATCTATATAATGTTGTATCCTTGTCATTCTCTATACAAAATGAAAAGGAGACTGATGTTAAATTTAGTTTTAAGATTAGAAAGTAAAGCCAGAATCGACACCAGTATATGAAAATTTTACCTTTCATCCACCTGGCGCGTAGGTTTAGAACGTATCGTGCGTGCTTCTGTGTACGCTACGCACGCTCAAACATCAAATAAGTTTCTTTTTCGTTCCGAGAGAAAGGTAGAAAATCTAGAGCAAAACTTATTGATTAGATTCTCTGTGATCTCGAGAAGAATTATACGTGAAAGTACTAGTTTCTACCCTAGTTTTAAATCAAATTTCTCGTCATCCTGATCTTAGGTAGGTAGACGTGTACGATGATGGGATGTGAGCAACCCATACATTAATTACAACTTACGGAGCAAGCTACCGTGAAGGAAAAAAATATTCTGACTTGACTGACCCTAGTGAGTTGATGTATCAAGTGACTTACTCGAGCTATTTGTGTTTTAATAATGTATGGCAGCAGCCAAAACAACCGTAATGAAGACCGCAAAGAAGACAAACCACCATACTCCAGAGTGTTTGTTGTATGCAGCAAACAAACCCAAGAGGATGATTTGAGAACTCCTTTTGAAAAGTATGGTACAGTTGAGGATTTCTATATGCCTAGAGATCGAAATACGGGTGATCCCAAGGGGGTAGCATATATAAAATTCAGCAAAACGTCATCAGCTGCAGCAGCAATCCATGACCTTCAGGCAAAGCCATTGAAAATTAATAATAAACCAATTAAAGTTATGGTGGCTTCAAGTAAACACGATTCAAATTCCACAAATGAAGAGAGATATAGACGGCTCTTTATAAAAGTTCATAAAGACATAACTGAAAGCGAGGTGTATGACCACTTCTCCAACTTTGGGCATGTTGACTCAGTGTACTTGCAAAGAGATAAATCCACTGATAAATGTAAAGGCTTTGCATACGTACACTATACCTGTTTCTTGGATGCTGCCAAAGCATTTGAAGAATGTGATCGAAAATATAAACCAGTATTTGCTACTCCTAAAGATGAGTTGAAACGTGCCAGGACCAGCTTGGAGGGGGGAGTATTTGGAGCTCAACTAGATAATACCTATTCTAGTAACAGTCACTTTAATAAAGACAATTTTTACACAGAACATAAGAGAGAAAGTTTCAATTTACATCCTAATGCTTCATCTCAGCACTGCACTTCAGTCATTGTTACCTGCAGTCCTCAAGTGCCTCAAAAGTGCATTGAGAAATTGTTTAATATTATACCTGGGATGATACAGTGTCAATACACACTTGATACATACAATGGCTATTGTAAAGCGCTCATTTCTTATGACAATGAACAGGCTGCCACATGTGCTCTTCAAAAGATAAATAATTTTGAATTTCCATCTGGGGAAATTGTTTTTGTTAAGCCCGATGATAACCCTATAAATAAAGCTGCTAATACTCTAAGTACTATAGTAAATAGTTTTAAGAACTCATTAGATTCCGGTAACCCTAACTTGCTCCAGCTAGCTGATGCTATAGCTGAGGCATCGACATTGATAAAGGCAGCTACAACGGTTAAAATTGAAAACAGCTCACGACTTTTAGAGAATAAGGAAAGTCACTGTAGTGTACCTCTGCCATCCCCTCAACCAATGGCTAATGCTAACAGTAGAGTTGCACAAAGATGTTTTATAGTATGTAAACCATATCCTCCACCTGGTTCTGCTTTAAGGGATGCATTTTGCCGCTTTGGAGATCTCATTGATGTGTGTACTTTCCCGAATAAGACATTTGGTTTTGTTAAATATGCTTCTGAAAGGGCAGCACAAGAAGCTATTAAAACTTTGAATGGGGCAGTATTGTGTGGTATTCAGCTTAAAGTTTTAGAGGCTGATGAAAAACCTTCCAAGGATGATGATGATGATGATGTTAAAATGATAATACATCCACCTGAAAACTATTTAGAACGTGATAAAGACTGTAAAAGAATGAAGTTTAGTGAATCTAGGAATTACAATTAAGACTCGAAGAAGTAATGCAAGCCGGATGATGGACTTATTTGACTTGACTTAAATAACAAGCACAAAAGTACATTGAATTCATCAATAACATCTATTTTTAGTGAATGCATGAAAAATTCTAATGAACTACGACTATTTTGTTACATGACCATGTTTAACTGAGATTAATAACATTATGTCAATGACAGACTTTTATTACATCAAGACCTTAGAAATTTAAAGTTCATTTTTGATTGAAATAGATACATTAGTGAATAACAATAATAAATACATATAAGATTATGACAAATGACAACAAAGAATAGATACAAAAAAAAATCTTGGAAAACTGGAGGTATTTATTGACAAAATACATGATACTTGAGAACAACTCTGATATTAAATAAATCATCAGAATCCTACCATGGTAGGATTGCTTAGTAAATAGTAAACATATTTAACATCAATATGAGATATACAATAATAAAATCTAAATTAATTTATACCTAAACCATTCCTTTCTTTCTTAAAAATTCATACAAATTACTACTAACAGTCTCAACAGCAGGCAGAGATTCATGCAATGAAATACAACAGCATGCCAAATTTTTGAATCTGATTGCTAAAGCATTTCATTCCTTATATGACAAGACATCAGTTTCATGGTAGACTGACATGAAGAACTTCAACTTCAATGACTGGCTTATCTAGTTTCTAAAAATATCTACCAAATACTATTTATATTTGATTACACGAGTCTTCCCAGTTTTGAAGCAAAGATGCACAGAGTTATCAACATTATTTTAAAATTCAAAATAACGTCTTGCTGTTACTCAATTTACTGCCATCAACAGTTTCAGCTCGTGTCTATTATGTAGGTGCATATTCGTTCAATTTTTATTTTGTAGTAAATATGTCACTTCATTTATTCCTGAAAGTAACTTATTGATAATATTATCATAGTATAAGGAGTTGTTGTCATGTTGAGTTTCCGTCCAGTTTTTATTGCATTCGCTTACAGCAGTTTTAGCTTGAACCATCTGTAAAAATTTTAATTAATGAATTAAAAAAAATTAAGTAGCTATATTGTTTATAGTAGTTTGTAAGCAACAGACACAGACTTGAACTTACAAATAAACTTCAAGATGAAATTGGGTATACTGTAATATACAAAACTCGTAACAATTACCTGAGTGAACATATTGACATCCTGACACAACTGAGTTAGTTTGATTTCAAGGTCAGGGTTTCTGCTGAATTCATTTTTCTTATTTAGTCTTATATCGACAAGACGTTTGCTTAATTGATCAAGGCTAGAAGCATACTGTTCCAGGTTCAGGGTATGCATTTGTTTGGTTGAATATTTTGGTGCATGTTCTGAGTGACCAATTTTTTTGTTGAGATCTTCAGCATAACTTTTCATAGTTGAAATAATGGCGTCTAAGTCGACATTGACACTATTATCTACCATATCTGGTAATAGTAATTTTGGCATATCTGCATCAAAGAACTCTTTTAAGTTTTCGTATTTCATGTGGCCAGTGGTTGAATCTTCATTCGTGCTATTTTCTTTAGGAATTGAATCAAATAAAGCCTTGATGTCTAGCATCACTCTTTGTGAATCCGCGAGCTCAGTATCCAAGGTTTGTGTCATTCGCTCGAGTGCTTCCAATTGAACAATGGATTGTAGATAACCGGCGAAGTCACCTGGACCATGTTTTCGATTGTTATCCATCTAGATAAATTAGTTTCTATGTTTATGTTTGAAACAGATTTGACCTGCCACACCCAATTTTTTTATTAAACTTACTGATCTTTTACCCAAAAGTCGAGTAGCAGCACTGAATTACGAAGTTATAATCACACAAAACCACAAAATAGAAACCTGAGGCACACCTATTAAAGACACAACTACTCAACAAACAAGATCAACGATTTGACAGCACGCAATTTGCATTAGGGATGCCCGATCTGAATCAATCATTTGGAAGAATGATTCACGGCAATAAGATTCATCGATTTTTTGAGTCAATAAGATACGATTAATTCCCAGATTTAATGAAATGCGCAGAAGATCGTATGAATAAATCGAAAAATTTATAGCCGACCAAAACTAAAATTGAATATGAACATAATTGTATTAAAGGACAGGAGAACAAGGCAGATAGATAACTACCTTGAACAAAGTAATATTACTATGACCAAATATTACATCATATTATCTACTTTTTTTTGTTAAGAAACGATTACTATGTCAAATGTTTTTTTAACTCAAATAACTACCTATAGATCAATGAAGTTTAAGATTTTTCACTACTGTCAAGAATCAAAAAGTTGAATCAATATTGTTAATATCTAATAAAAAACTATTTCATGGCTTCCCCAAACAGACGGGAAAACTAAATATAAATGCTTGATTAACATGGCATTGTAGCAGGCAATTGATAGTTAAGGGGTTTAAAATATTGCCTTAATAGAAAAAAACTATATTTTCAAAGTTGTCAAGTCAATTAAATTTGTAAAGAACGTGCTTGTATATGTTTGTGTGAAGTGCCTTTGAAACCGCAAGGTGAAACCGCACTATAGCGACACTGCAGCGGAGAGGCGCGTAGCGGCATCAGAGCGGCGCGTAAAGAAAAATATTTTTTCTAGTGTTTCTAATGAAATAAAACGCATTATGGCGGTACTTCAGTGAAGCGGCGCGGCGCGTCGCTTCACAGTTGACTCCCGAAGAATATTTTGCCGCTTCGCTCGCGCCGCGCCGGTCCGCTGCCGCTAGTGCGACATAGCTCGCGGCGGCGGAGGCGCGGTGCGACCAGTCAGTTCAAGTTGTAGCGTATCGAACGAATGACGCCACATAATAGACGACGAAAAATTAATTTCTCTTGTTAGTAATTATCCTGAATTATATGATTTAGAAAACGATACCTATATGAATCATTTGAGAAAAATCAATATATGGAACGAGATAAGTACATTGATAAGTGAAACTGGTAAGTAAATACTTTTTGTGTTAATAATTATGTTTATTTAATAAAGTTTAACAAACATCCCCTAAGCATGTTTTATTGCTATAATGTAATAGGAGATGGAATAGAAATGTAATTATTCCGTCCATCTTGTAACCACGAATGAAATAAAACAAAACGCCGCTCACTGTAGCGCCGCTGCAGTACAGTGCGGCTTGGTAATGCCGCGCCGCTCCGATGCAGCGACGCGCCTCTCCGCTGTAGCGTCACTCTAGTGCGGCTTCACCTTAAGCACTGTAAGACTTGTGTTATGGGATACTAGGATAACGGATGGAACACATATACTCTACATATATAACTATATTTATATAGAAATACATTATTAACATCCATGACTGGAGAACAAATGCTCGTATTCATCACACAAACATCTGCCCCCACCGGGATTCGAACCCGGGACCTCTCGAGTCGGCGACACCATGAAATCCGTCGTACAAACCACTCCACCAAGAAGGCATGGAGGTATAAATAAAATTATACAAATTATGTATGTATATTTATAAACATTTTGAATCTGAAATGTCGAAAATAATATTCACAGTTACGTAATCTGTGAATTCAATTTTGCATTGTTTAGCATTGAACCGGTAATTATCGATTTACTCAAATAAGCAATAAATACTTATTATTCAGTGATTTTTACTTATTTCAGTAATTCTTTGTTGTTCTTCATCATCTTTCAAATATGGAAACTTAATTTGGGGCTAGGCTAATTGGTGTGAGTGTTGAAAATATAAATTTTTTATTATTATTTATTTATATTTTCTGAATTATGTATGAAAATCCTTCATTTTAATACCCTGTGTAAAAGCTAATAAACAATTTTTTTTACAAGATGTTTCTTTTAGGCACCAAATATTAGCTATATTTGACTCATTAAACAACTTATCACAAAGTTACTGTCGTGTTCGTAAACAGCCCTCTCGAAAACTATGAATATAATACACATATTATTATTGATTTTATTAAAAAAGGCGATTCCGATATTATTACATATTTTTTCTTATTTCAATTAACTTTATTATTGTTGTATGTTTACGCAGTGGGTTGATTTATTTGGAGATAGTAGTGTTTTTGTAAAAATTATTTCTTCCTACATCAAAAACTTGTTAATTTTGCTACGCGTTGAAACAAACATCGCGTTTAAAATCTTAAATGCTCAAAAATGCATATGACATAGTGTGCTATACGTATGTAGCCCCTCTAAAAATGGAAAAAAAAAATGTTCGGCGAGTGGTGGCATGGTATGGCATCTCAATTGGTATATGCTCTTAAGTAGATATGCACAAACAACAATGGTGCCAATTCTGGCGTGATTCTCTAAACTTAAAACTAAATTTGACGTCAGTCTCTCCTTTTCATTCTGTATAGAGAATGACAAGGATATACTGCTGTCAAATTTAAGTTTAGATTTAGAGAATCATGCTAGAATCGACACCACTGTCTAATATATAATGCAAACAATTGTATATTGTACTGACGAATTGAGAGAGGGATCTCAATCTTTTAAATGAACGAATTTGATTTTAAATTGTAATTTTTATCGTATACTGATTTTGGGTACAAATATACCGATTTTCATGGAGGGCTCTGTAGAAATATATAAAAAATAAATAAATAATGTAACTAAAAACGAGGCTGTATGGGCATGGTTTACTTGGCCATCCCTGAAAAGGGAAAACTCCAAAAAAAATGCAAATTGACGTTCGGCACTATGCTTGCACGTGTGTTTTGTTTGGTTTTCAATTTATTTAGATTAGAAATTGTTTATAGCTAAAGATTTACATTGACATTGAACACACAAGTCATTTTATTCTTCAAATATTTAGAAATGGTGCGTAAACTTAAATTTCACGAACAGAAACTTCTAAAAAAGGTTGATTTTATATCATGGAAAGTAGATAATAATTTACATGAAGTGAAGGTTATGAAAAAGTATTATATTCAGAAAAGAGAAGATTACACCAAGTAAGTCACCAAGATGTGTTGAATGCTCGTTTAAACGTAGATAATTCTTCAGTAATGAAAACGTAATTATTTTGTTTCAGGTACAATAAACTGTCGAGAGACATCCGAGACCTGGCTAATAAAATCAAGGATATAGATGCTAGCCTTGGATTTAGAAATGAAAGCAGCGCCCAGTTATTGGAGAAATTATATCAAATGGGATTAATTCCCACCAGGTGGGATTTAGCCCTTGCAGCAAGTGTATCAGCAAGTGCATTTTGTCGACGTCGATTGCCAGTTGTAATGGTTCGAAGTAAGTTTCATTATCAAGATTGAGTGGTTTTTACGCCGGGTTTCATGGTGTCGCCGACTCGAGAGGTCCCGGGTTCGAATCCCAGTGGGGGCTGATGTTTGTGTGATGAATACGAGCATTTGTACTCCAGTCATGGATGTTTCTATAATTAAACTTATATATGTACTGTATATGTATTCTATCCGTTACCCTAGTATCCCATAACACAAGCCTTACAGTGCTTACTTTGGGGCTAGGCTAATTGGTGTGTGTGTTGGAAATATTTATATTTGTTTAAGATTAATTTTCAATGTGTTCAAAAATTTGTTACTTTTTGTATTATAGAACAATCCACTGATGCTCATAATAAATTATTAAAATTACTTTCAGATAAAATGTCAGAAAACTTAAAAGAGGCTACAAAATATATTGAACAGGGTCATGTTAGAGTTGGTCCGGAGGTAGTAAAGGATCCAGCTTTCTTGGTTACAAGATCATTAGAAGATTTTGTTACCTGGGTTGATGGTTCGGCTATCAGAAGACATGTCATGGAGTATAATGACATGGTATGTAATTTTTTCACTAGAACCAAATTTTTAATGTTTACCTTTTCCTGTATTTTTATTAAATATATTTTGTTTCAGAGGGACGATTTCGACATGATATAGATAAGAAAAGAAGATTTGCTTCATTTTGTATCAAAAAGACCAGTAGAAGCAACAATAAAGTTATGAACCTTCGGGTCTTATTAAGCATAGACATTGATATGCATGTACATTGTTTTTTATTGTTAAATAATAATAAGTCTGATTATATCTATTCATTTTATATATATTTTTTTCTTAGAGTAAATAGTTCCTCAAATGGATCATTTAGTTGTTGTCAAACCAATCTGCTGTGAACTTTTAAGACCATAATGTTTTAAGCAACCTCGGTTCACTGTAATCTATGATTCTCATTTACAAGTACGCGTCGGAGTGCAGCGTAGACCACTACAATTTACTGAAGGAAATTTTAACAAAGTTGTCCAGTTTTTTATTTGCATGCAATTCAAGTAGCAATGAAGCTGACGGGTTGCGCTCAGACTGCGGTTCTCGACTTCCGGCGGATCTGATCAGCGCCGTGGGTTTACCGTTGCCGTGCGCGCGTGACGTTTGCCAGTTGATTCATTACATTAATTTGTGTATTTTAAATGACTGTTATGTGGTGCCAAGTACAGACAAAGGCTCTACAAACAACCCGAAAAGAGTAACAAAAACAAATGCATTTTCACAATGAAGATCTAACGACAAAAATTTATAGCAACCAAAGAACGAATGCCACCGCTACAAATGCAATTTGAAGATGGACCGCTGTCAATAATACAAGTTTTATTCCCCTATGGAGAACTCAATTTAAGAAGACATCACTAAATTTTATAATTACTTATCGGAAGCACAAAGCTTATCAACAACACGTATATAAACATAATAGAGAATATTTATTCAAAAAGCACAAGCAGAGTTAAACTAGAAAGACAAGGCGTACCTTTCACAATTGGGAGAGGAGTGAGACAAGGCGACCCACTCTCTCCAAAACTATTTACAACGGTTCTGGAGGATATTTACAAGAAGATGGGTTGGAATCGAAAAATAATATGTATATCAAATAAAAAACTAACTCATTTGAGATTTGCTGATGACATAGCCATCTTTTGTGAATCAGCAAGAGACATGGAAAAAGTGCTACAAAAAGAACTAAACTTTGAAAGCAAAACAATTGGGCCCACATATGAATGCATCTAAAACTAAAATCACGTCTAACTACAGCAAGAAGACTATCAAAATCGAGAAAAAACCCATAGATTATATGGAAGACTATCTGGGAAATTAAGTATATTATAAAATAAACAGTAATGAAAATGAAATGGATAGAAGAATAAACACAACCTGTAAGAAATACTGGACACAAAAAGAAAATCTAAAAGGCAATTACAATCTTAATTTGGAAAATATCACAATGGACGAGCATGCATTCTTCCAAGTTTGACATATGCATGCCGAACATGGGTTTACACGGAAAAAACAAAGAACAAAATTCTATCTTGCTAGCAATAAAAAGAAGTATTTTAAATTTAAGAAAAATACAAGAAACAATAAATATAGACATCCAATTTAAAGTTGTGGCCACATCAAAAACTCACCGTGGTCGTCTAGTACGCGAGATGCCATAGGTAATGATCAAAATCTCCAAAAAAGTGCACATAGCATATATTGGTTTGTCAACAAAGATTATTTATAATGTATTATTCTCGCTCTTCGCTTCAGTGTGTTAATTTTTAACCCCCGACGAAAAACAGGGGTGTTTTAATTTAGACCGATTTCGATGTGTATGTGTGTCTGTCTGTGGCTCGTAGGTAATCGTATATTCACATTTACGGGACCGCGTCGGAGCGTCGCAGGACATGCTCGCGTCGGGACGGATTTAGTCTGACGGCTAAATCCGTCAGATGAGCGTGTTAAAGTTTAAAACACACGAACGAATTTACTATATCAACTTGCCAACCGGCGAACGTCACTCGCGCATGCGACGGTATTCAAACGGAGGCGATCGGATTCGGAAGCCGAGAGCAAAGAGTCAGAGTGCAGGCTTCATAGCTGCTTGATTGCATGCAGGAACTTGGATGTTTCAATTGCCTTCAACCAATTGTAAAATGCGCTGCACTTCGATGCTCGCCATTTTTATTTGGAAGCTTAGATGATCGAGACGGTGCTTAGCTATCATTTATAAAGATCTGTTCAGGCGGTTTGAAGATCATCAGCTCATCACCCATTTGAGATGTGTTTTACTAACCTTGTGCGTGTGTGAATGAGAAGGATTTGACAGTAAATAATAGAGCTTTTTCGTTTTCCCACTTCATCTTTACTTAGTTATCAAAAATCTTTGCTAATCAACTCAGGGGGTTGAAGAACTTGGCTCTTCGACATGGGGGATGTTAACTCCTTACAATGCAGCAAAAAAGTATCTGAACTCTGGCACGATCCACCTTTATCGGCAATGGATAGTGCTATGTATTGGACTGAGTAAATAGCGCGACACCGTTACCCAACTGCCTTCTAAACATGTTTGTTTTGTATCTATATATTGATTGCCTTAGAGCTAGTATGGTTGTCTTGCAAAAAAAAAGGAGAAAATACGAATAAAAAACTGCCTTTTATTGAAGAACGACTCGAGCTTCTTCTCAAAACCGTCAGTATCATCATGGTTAGTTGTACGGTTGACCTTATGCAAACTCTAGTGGGGTGTTCCTTACTTATCTTAAAAATATATTATAGTCAAACCGTGTCAATTTATCCATGTGCTTAGTGTTGTATCAATTCTCATGTCCAAGATGTCTAGTCCAGAGAGTCATATCGATAGACCTGGCATTGAAACAGTGGATGAAACAGATGCAACATCTTCCACTTGAGAGCGACTTTCTAGAACAGCAGCTATTCTTGCGATGGCTGCAGATTGACACTTGGCAGCTTCAGCGAGCTTTGTCATTGCCTCTGCTTGCCGCAACGCAGCATCAGCACTCTTGACAGCAGCACTCGCGCGTTTATCCTCAGCTTTGGCACGTAGCAATTCAGCTTCTGCACGTCTCTTTTCCACTTCTATCAACCATTTTGGATACAAGTCTAAAAGCAAAGAGTCATTATAAGTTTTGATACGATTTTATTGGTGGGTAGGCTGAAATATAAATCGTTGACAAAAAGGAATATCCTTCCCTCATGTAACTTTACAATAATATTCTTTATTATAGTAATTTATTATGGACTAGCGGCCCGCCCTTGCTTCGTTTCGGTGTAGACTACAGTTTTTGTTCTCAGGCTTGTATTAAACACAATGACATTCATCTATGATTCTTTTTATACCTGCATGCAAAGTCTCAGCCCGATCGGTTTAAAATTGACAAAGTTTCATACAAACTTTCATTCCCTATTTTATCCCCTTGGGGGTAGAATTGATCAAAATCTTTTCTTAGCGGATGCCTACGTCATAACATCTATCTGCATGCCAAATTTCAGCCCGATCCGTCCAGTGGTTTGGGCTGTGCGTTGATAGATCACTATGTCAGTCACCTTTGAGTTTTATATATAGAATCTAAGCGGAATCGGATTGGTAGATCCAAACATCGCAAATAGGCATTTTGGTGACGTCACATAAAAACAAATAAAGTTCCTATTCAAATGCGAAGATAAAGTTTTTATGCTTATTTTTATTGAGGGTGACAACTGAGATATTTTCTTAGCGAATTCCCATTTCCAAAGAGGTTGACTTATGGGATTTCTATTTAGAAAAAAAATCCACTTGTCACCGAAGAGGACAAAGCTGGGGGTGACGAGTAAAAATGACCACACGAATTTAATCTGTATATATAGGGTTTTTCAACAAGAACTTTGTTTTCTAAATCAAAATAAAACAATAAATTTAGATGAAGATGATTAAAATTTTTATTGAATTACAAAGAGAAAAGTTCGGCAATTAAGAATAAAAAATAATATCTTACAAATGTCCACCACGAGCACGTTGACTGATGTCGATTCTTTCATCAAAGTTTTGACGTGACAACGTCTTAAATTAGGTTGCGGCTGGGAGTCACTTATGAAAAAGTGTAACGCTCGGTAACGTTACGATGAGTCTCTCGTGTTAAGTTTAAGTTTACATGTACAATGTTTTAGTAAACAAAATATATTTCTATAGATAAAATTTGTGCAATTCTTATTTTCATTCAATTCCTTGTTCCTATTGTGCAATTTAATTATATTCATATCAATAAATATTCTACCGAGAAAAAGACGTTGTCACGTAAAATCTTCGCCCGTAAAACCGACTTTACAGGCAACCATTTTTTTTAATCACTGTTTGGCTAAATGGCGGGACTATTTCGTTAATCACATCACGGATTTTGAGTTTTAAGGCTGCAATCGATTCGATTGGCCCCGTCTAGATTCTGTCCTTAACATAACCCCACAAAAAATAATCGAGTGGTGTTAAAACACATTATTTGGCTGGTAAATGTAGTGAATGTGAAGATGATTAAAATTTTTATTGAATTACAAAGAGAAAAGTTCGGCAATTAAGAATAAAAAATAATATCTTACAAATGTCCACCACGAGCACGTTGACTGATGTCGATTCTTTCATCAAAGTTTTTAATCACTGTTTGGCTAAATGGCGGGACTATTTCGTTAATCACATCACGGATTTTGAGTTTTAAGGCTGCAATCGATTCGATTGGCCCCGTCTAGATTCTGTCCTTAACATAACCCCACAAAAAATAATCGAGTGGTGTTAAAACACATTATTTGGCTGGTCACTTAACAGCTGAGTTAAGTGAAATTATGAGATCGGGAAATTTGGTTTGCAATAAATTTATCGTTTCATTGGCTGTGTGACATATGGAGCCGTCCTGTTGAAACCACATATCAGTGATATCCGCTGCACCAATAATAGGCCAAAATTCGCCATTTGGTGGTTCTGGATAACCCCAATTGTTGAGAACGTCGCGGAATTGACAAATTTGGATCTGCTTCAACACTGTGGCTCACGGCTGCGATGCTTTCAGTCGAACGACACGGTCGAACACGCGTTGGTGTTGGCACATTTTGTATCGAGCCTGTCGACTCAAATTTAACGACCAAATTCTTAATGGCGGTCTCAGAAGGACGATATAAAAAATCACGAATTTGACAAAATGTAACTGTAACAGAACTACTATTTTCATAGTGGATTTTAATTTTTAATTATTTTAATTCTATTTTCCATCGAAATTGAATTCATTTTAACAATTGCCAATGCATCTACTACGAATACGTCAAAAAACTAAATGACAAAACTATCATATTGTTGTAGCCACAATTGAAAAACAAAGTTCTTATTGAACAACCCTGTATATAAAACTCAAAGGTGACTGACTGACTAGTGATCTATCAACGCACAGCCCAAATCACTGGACGGATCGGGCTGAAATTTGGCATGCAGGTAGATGTTATGACGTAGGCATCCGCTAAGAAAGGATTTTGATCAATTCTACCCCCAAGGGCATAAAATAGGGAATGAAAGTTTAAATGAAACTTTGTCAATTTAAACCGATCGGGCTGAGACTTTGCATGCAGGCAGGCAGGTAAGAATCATAGATGAATGTCATTGTGTATAATACAAGCCTGAGAACAAAAACTGTAGTCTACACTTCAGCTCTACACCGAAGCGAAGCGAGGGCGGGCCTCTAGTTAGTCAATATAAAGTACGCAAATTCATTCCATTCGAGTTTGCAAACCCTAATACTTACTATGTATTAGTGGATCACTCAAATTGAAATCATCATCATCCCCACCTTCTTCATTACTGGATTCAGCACTTTCATCGCTGTCTTGTTCAGCACCTGCAATTTGAATGAAACAATAACAGTTTTGTTACATTATTAATATAACTTTACTGTAGTTATGTTTTTTATCTACTATATAAAAATAAGTCGGGTTTTCCTTCCTGACGCTATAACTCCAGAACGCACAAACCGATTTCCACGGTTTTGCATTCGTTGGAAAGGTCTCGGGCTCCGTGGGGTTTATAGCAAAGAAAATTCAGGAAAAATTATAAAAAAAAAAAACTTCTTTTAATCACCAAACGAAATGTTACATAAAAAGAAGCCATCTGGTGGCGAAACGGAGTTCGCCGGGTTTGCTAGTTTCTTATATTTAACTGCTAGGTGTTTTAATCTAAAAATAAACAAGTGTACCACACGACTGAAGTGAAACTGCTTTAGCTCCATCTGTATGTGTATATATATATCACACTAATATTATAAAGGCGAAAGTTTGTGAGTGTGTGAGTGTGTATGTTTGTTACTTTTTCAAGTCTAAACGGCTGGAGCGATTTTAATAAAATTTGGTATGGAGTTAGTTGACACCCTGGATTAACACATAGGCTACGTTTTACTGCGGGAAAATATCCCTAACAAACCGCGGGTAACACCGCGGGGCACAGCTAGTATATATCTAATATATAAAATTCTCGTGTCACGGTGTGCGTAATTGAACTACTCCGAAACGGTTCGACCGATTTTCATGAAATTTTATATGCATATTCAGTAGGTCTGAGAATCGGACAACATCTATTTTTCATCCCCCTAAATGTTAAGGGTGGTGGTGGTGGTGTTAACCTTAAATTTTTTTGGGCACATATTTTTGTTTTTAATTTTTTGTTTTTATGATACATCATACAAAAATACATACAACCCAAAATTTTCACCCTTCTATCACCAACGCCTATGGCGGTACGAACTTCGTTGGGACAGCTAGTATATACATATATATATATGTATGTACAATATATACACGTATGTACATATTTGATATGCTAGCTATAAGAGGAAGAAAGTAAGATAATGTGCGCGCGCACTGCTTGCTCTTGCTTATATCCCCCACTCAACTCCCGTTCACCTCGCCCGAACACACTTTTCGTAACGCGTAACGCATTCGCCAGCTTACCCTCCAAGTCAAGTGTGCTTAAAGAAGCTTCACTTTAAAAATTTTACTAGAAAATGTTTCACGGGACCAGGCAGCAGACGGGACTCGAACCCTCTGATATCTGGGCGGATGCACTGACCATTATCCGCGTAGAATTTTTTCTAGTTAAATTTTCTTTACATTTACTGTAGCTGTTTCAAAAACTACATTTACCTGATAGTCTATCTTGAGCCTCCAGATGTGAATTCGATGAATCATTATTCTCTTGATATGCCTCCAATTTTACTTCTGGTGGTGCGACATCCTAAAAGATGTGAAATAATATCTGCAATCTTTTTTTTTACGCGCTACATAGATACGTTTATAGGTATTCTGACACTTACAGAAAGTGGATTTTGATAAGTTTCTGAACTAGATATTTTCTTCTCAAAGTATGGACCTAAAATTATAAGAGCCCTTTTTTCTAGTTTTGTTAGAGGACGTACGTCTTTCTTCGGAGATCCGCGTTTTTGTCTTTTTATAATTTTTGCCTTATTTTTTAACTTATTTTTGAAGTCACTCCAATACTGAAAATAATAAGTTGAAGGTTAATTGTAGATGCGAAGAAAAGAGAGCATCGACTGCCGGGCAGCGACCACCGCGGTCTGAACAATACCAGCCACCGCGGGCGTCAGTGTCGCCGGACCGCCACTTACCGCCAACAAGCAAATATGGGTGCAATACAAAAAAAAAACTTATGGTAGCCTCCCAATTTTGGAAATTCAATAGTTTGTTGGTTGTGCTAAGTTGTTCTAGTTGTTCCCAAAACTGTTTCAGAGTATTATTTAAAAAGAAAATTTGAAGCCGCTACGCAAAAAAAAAGTTTTTTTGGTAGCCCCCATTTCTAAAAATTCAATGATTTTTTGGTTGTTCCAAGTTGTTCTAGTTGTTCCCAACATTGTTCCTGAGTTTTGTTTGAAAAAACAAGACATATATTTGAAGCCTCTACACAAAACGCAGTGTCACCGCTGCCAGGGCTTTCGACACTCCTCCAAGGGTTGCCACCGCGCGCTTGCCTGCGTGCGCTGCGGAGACCCGCTTGCCTGCGTGCGCTGCGGAGATACCGCTTGCCTGCGTGCGCTGCGGAGACCCGCTTGCCTGCGTGCGCTGCGGAGATACCGCTTGCCTGCATGCGCTGCGGAGACCCGCTTGCCTGCGTGCGCTGCGGAGACCCGCTTGCCTGCGTGCGCTGCGGAGACCCGCTTGCCTGCGTGCGCTGCGGAGACCCGCTTGTCTGCGTGCGCTGCGGAGACCCGCTTGCCTGCGTGCGCTGCGGAGACCCGCTTGTCTGCGTGCGCTGCGGAGACCCGCTTGCCTGCGTGCGCTGCGGAGACCCGCTTGCCTGCGTGCGCTGCGGAGACCCGCTTGCCTGCGTGCGCTGCGGAGACCCGCTTGTCTGCGTGCGCTGCGGAGACCCGCTTGCCTGCGTGCGCTGCGGAGACCCGCTTGTCTGCGTGCGCTGCGGAGACCCGCTTGCCTGCGTGCGCTGCGGAGACCCGCTTGCCTGCGTGCGCTGCGGAGACCCGCTTGCCTGCGTGCGCTGCGGAGACCCGCTTGCCTGCGTGCGCTGCGGAGACCCGCTTGTCTGCGTGCGCTGCGGAGACCCGCTTGCCTGCGTGCGCTGCGGAGACCCGCTTGTCTGCGTGCGCTGCGGAGACCCGCTTGCCTGCGTGCGCTGCGGAGACCCGCTTGCCTGCGTGCGCTGCGGAGACCCGCTTGCCTGCGTGCGCTGCGGAGACCCGCTTGCCTGCGTGCGCTGCGGAGACCCGCTTGCCTGCGTGCGCTGCGGAGACCCGCTTGTCTGCGTGCGCTGCGGAGACCCGCTTGCCTGCGTGCGCTGCGGAGACCCGCTTGTCTGCGTGCGCTGCGGAGACCCGCTTGCCTGCGTGCGCTGCGGAGACCCGCTTGCCTGCGTGCGCTGCGGAGACCCGCTTGTCTGCGTGCGCTGCGGAGACCCGCTTGCCTGCGTGCGCTGCGGAGACCCGCTTGTCTGCGTGCGCTGCGGAGACCCGCTTGCCTGCGTGCGCTGCGGAAACCCGCTTGCCTGCGTGCGCTGCGGAGACCCGCACGCCGCCGCCGACTGCCCCCGCCCACGTTCGCAACCGGCAACATGCGCGAACTGTAAGGGCCCGCATCCAGCGAAACACCGCCTGGCGCACAACAAGAAGGCCTCCACTGTGGACCGCACAGGCTGCATGACCGCCCAACCACCATCGCAGCCGACTGAGGTGAGTGAGCACGCACCGGCCACCCTAATGGCTCCCGCGAATGCTCCGCCCTCCCAAAAGCCACCGAAGCCCCGCCGCCGACGCAACAAACACGGCCGCCGTACCACCGCGCAGCGTGACGAGGCGACCCCCGGTACCAAACCAACCACCGTAACCACCACCACAAGACCGACACCAGCAGAGGCCCCAACTGTCGTATAGGACAGCTGCTCAGCATCGCAGAGCAGATCAAGGAACATATTATCCAAAAACTCGGTTAACCGGGTTTTCGATCTACCCACCACTCAGAGGCGCTCCTCCTCTCGCCTAAGTCCATCGCCCGCTCGCTCGTCGCTCACTGGGCCTCCCTCATGGGTCTCACCCGGTGGGCTTGACCGATGACCCTAACGACCATCCCGTTCGTTAACGGGATGCGCTCATCTAAAATGGCAAGAAAGCCAGAAGAGACCCCGCACGCCGCGGCGGCTTCGGCGTCGCGCGAGATGAAGATATAGTATGTAATGGGGGTTATTCGCTAGCCAACCATTGAAGAGGACACTTCACAAAAAAAACACCTTGAAGATGGATACCACTGCTGATGAAGCCACTCAAGTGATTGCACTGCTGCAATCAGGGCTGCGGCAGTGGGATGTCGCTCGGCAACGGATCTTGAGCCGTTTTTCGGTTCGAAGAGTTTACCAGCGGTTTCTGGAGACCGGTGGCCATGTCCGGAGGATTGGGTCTGGTAGACGTCGCTCCTCGGACGGCAAAACCAGCCTTGTAAGCGTCTCCCAGACTGGAGGTGCTCGCGGGCAAGGGTCGCTGACTGCTCACCGGAAACAATACTGGAAGAGCATGTGGTCCCCTATGCCGGTTACGTTGGCGAGGGGTTCACATTAATGCACGATTACGCTCGCGCTCACGCTACATCAATTTTACGCGCGACCCTAAACCTGAAATTGCCGCAACTACTTTCAAGAGGTTGGGATCTCTGTCATGCAGTAGCCAGCGAGAAGTCCAGATCTGAATCTGATAGAGCACCTATGGGACCATTTGAAACACAAGGTTTGGTCTTGTGACCCCGCTGCCATGACTCTCCAGGAGCTCATGGAGGCCGTTATTGAGGAAGCCAGTATCTCCCTCAAGAAGAACTCCTAAAGGAAGATCCATGAGGGAGCATATGGGAGATCATCCAGACAAGGGGGGGTAACACTAGGTTTTAGGTTAATTTTAAGAACCATTTTGTAATTTTTTCGTGTAATTTATCTGTTTTTAATTAAGGATTTCTATTGTTTTGTAAACTGTATTGTTTTTTGAATGGTTCCAATAAAAAATAAAAATGAATTGAATGGTTTTTTAAGTTTATTTAATGGGCTTTCAAATGACACCAATATTGGAGGGGGTAAATGCATGTGTTAAGGGTTATAATAACACTTGAAAGTTATTTTTGCGGAGGTGCGATTTTTTATGCCGAGTGTAGTACACTGAAAAAAGTTTATGTTCCATGTTCATACAGGGTAAAAGTTAATTGTTATAATTTTGTATTTATACTTCTTTGAAATAAAGAGCTGAACTTTATTATTTAGACACTTTAGTTATTAATGTTATGATATTCTTAGGTCCATATAACAGAATGACAACTAAGTGTCGATCTTTACTTGAGTACAGTTAGAAAGGGATATTGCTATGTGCTATATATAGCGACATCCCTTTCTAACTATGCTCAAGACTAGATCAATCACTGAGAATCTTTCTATAATACAGGCCTTAATGTTTGGATTATGTGTAAATAAAATGGTTGTAAACTTAATGTGGTTTTAGACCATTTGTATTAGAAATTAAACTGTAGTTTGGTGCACATCTTGAATTTGATTTGAAAAGGCTGTCTAAATACCAGAGTTTATTTTATTTGTTTCCGTATTATTCATGTGTTGTTATGAAACTTGTAAAATCTATTTTATTTTTTCCAAAGTAGTTACGATTCTGTATATTTAATAATACGGAATCCTTGATTTATAAATACAAATATTTCTTCTGGTGTTTTTTTTGTTATTCTGTGTGTGCTTGTCGCACACACAGAATATTAAATATTGCGCTTATTTGGTATGCTCGCTATTTTAATCGTTACTTGGGATTTTGTACGAAATTAATTAAAGTGTCTGTTACAAAAAATCTTACCTTACTCCATCCATCTGCTGATTTTTTCGTTCCACCCCGACAATCATTCAGGATTTTCGTCAACTCCCCCCATAGTTTCTTAGAGGTGTATCGTGCCTCCAATGTTCGTAAACTACCTGTAGCGAACTCAATATTTTGGCCCATAAAATCTATCATAGCCTTCACTTGCTCGTAGGCAACATGCCGAGAAACTTTTGAACCAGCCATTGCTTTTAATAAAATTTGTGTGAATGTGAAACTCAAAAATTTTAGATAAAACAAATTCAATTATTTTTTTTCTGTGATAAACAAACAAATCCAATCAAACAATAATTATACCACATCCAATTCAAATCAATGGGGTTGATTCTGGCACGATTCTCTAAACTACAAACTAAATTTAACATAATCTCTCCTTTTCATTCTGTATATAGAATGAGAAGGATACACTGTTGTCAAATTTAATTTTAGGTTTAGCTAAAGATTCAGGCTAGACCAATGTCTTTTTTTTTTTTTGTTGAAGTTCTCCCGTTTTAGGGAAGGCAAAGGGAACAACGCCCACACAGCCTGGTCTTTAATTAAATTAATCTTCTTTTTGTTTTTACATTAGAATGTCGGTGCGACGCATTCTAATGTTTCTTGGAGTGTTTGGCACGAAATGTATCGAGTTGGCTTTTTCGATAAGCTTCTGTGAGGTAGTCAACACTACAATAAAATTCTCACGTCCACTTGACCGGAATAGCGTATATTTTAACGATTCCACTAATTCTTCAGTTACGCAGACAGTTGTTACACAAAACCACACCAATTTTATTTCACAATATCCACTATGAACGAATTTAAGAATAATTAAAATAAGACACCAACCGCACTCGATGAAATCCCGCCAAAAAACCCTAGACCAATGTCTTTGATTAGCCTTTGACATTTCTGATTTGACATTGACACTAGGGCTGCCCGATCTTTTGGAAGATTGATTCACGGCACTATGATCTATTGATATTTTGAACCGATTCAAGAAGAGCAGTTTTTTTTCCAGAGGAAGCCGATTGCCCATAAGATCGTTTAAAAAAATCTAATGACATGATATTAAAAGTAGCTCATCGAAATCAAAACAGCTAAAGGGTTTACAAAATGTATTAAACCGATAGGTACATACCTTCACGACGTCCACGCGTCATCGCGTCGTACGCGTCATGCATGACACAAAACTGTAAGGTACATTCTGCCTTTAATTTTTGTAGGATTTGACATTTAACAGACTGAAGAGCATGGTTTATGCCTTTAACAATGAATCTTGCTAGCACTATGCTTATGCATTCCAAAATATCAATCTCAAAATATGTAATAATTAAACCATTACCCATAGACCAAAACACCAACGCGGCTAAATAACCACTTCTAAAAATAAATACGTGGCAACATGACTTGAGTACTTCTGAGTACCTCCTCTGTGTTTTCATTGTTTAAAAAATGGGACGAGTGAGATATATAAAACCGAGTTATTTTACTCCTTTCTAATAGGGTCCATATTCTATAATTCCATTCTCTGGTTGGAATGGAATATCGGATGCTTGCTTACACCCTAAATACTGTTCCCACAGCTTGGCATAGAATTTCTTTCTTTAGTTTGTAATATGACATCACAAAAGAAAAGAAAAAATATTTCAAACAAGGCTCTATATTTACAGTTTCTTTTGTATTCCTGACAAGCACAGAATAAAAAATAAACAATTAAAAAAAATAGGAAAAGAAATGGCAGTTACTAGAGAGAAAGAAAACTGTTCAAGAAAAATTAATGGAAATATACCTGCCTTATCTATCAATAGTGATAATATGTCGACATCTACCGATAGTGACGACCTAGCAGATCCCACATATGAAATTAGGAATATTCAAAGTATTATCAACGTGACTCGTGAAAACATTGACGCTTTAAATGCAAAATTTGCTGGTTTCCAGCATCCGCCGTCATTATATTTATCGGAATATCAGGAATTAACGTCGAAGCTTCACGACTTAGAACTTAGGGAACGGACATTGCGTGAACTGTTACAGACTGATTCGCCGGATAGAAGTGAAGATTGTTCTTTACAGGATGACTCGAAGAAGTACGACACTCTCACGAGGCAGCCCAAGGTATTCCTTAGGGCGCATCTGCCTAACCAGCAGCGCACCAGTGTGCAAGTTAAAGAAGGGGTGACGTTAAGGGACGCGCTTTCAAAAGCCCTGAAACTACGAAATTTGACTTGTGAAATGTGTGAAGTGGTTAGGACAGGCAATAATCAAGTGATACCTTGGGATGTGGATATAACTATGATTGACGCCGAAGAGGTCAGTTTTTTAATTCTATACTTATTGTAGTTTGATTAAATACAATATTTATGAATGTGTTTCATCAATAAATCAAGGCTTGTGAGTTCTAAATAATTATAATGTAGCTGGTACCTTTACATTGCTTTCTAGAAAATGTGAAGAGTAATGTAAAGTCATTTAATGTAATGAAAATAAAACATAAAAGATGGTTTTAATTATTGAAAGTTTCAAAGTTGGATTGCTATTTTATTCAATATTGTTTTACCTGCTGAAATCTAATCCAAAGGAGGCTATATTTAGTGTAAATGTTAGCCTTTAAATGGTTTTATTCATAGGGTTACCTGCTTTTCAATCTGTAATCTCTTGCTTTAATAAAATAAATTGCCGGCACTTATTCTTTATTTGAATTATTTGCTGAAATGGAAGTTTAAAGAAATTCATTTTTAATATGATAATAAATATTCTAATTGATATATAGTTTGCTAAGTCATAAGACACTTCTTACAAAACTAACTAAATTTAATAAAATTAAGAACTAAAACAGATACTGAAGTGTATTTTTTTTAATTTCAGCAACTGTATAAATAAGAAATGAGAATCATTTTAAATATTCATATTATCTATATAGGTTTGACTGTCTATTACTTATGTATTTATTAAAGTGATATAACTTCGGAAAAGGGTATAAATTATTTTGTCATGTTAATATAGAACTTGAGGGGGAGAATAATAGGAGATTATTTTATGCCTGAAAAATTGCAGGTATTAATTAATACCTCAGCTTTATTATGTACATATATTCCTTTTTTTACTTTCCCTTACTGTTAACATATTATAAATGTAACCTATGATTTTTTAGTGATATGTGAAATTTCTTCGCTACTAGCAAATACTTAACGTTGTCAACATAAGTGCTATGGAGAAAATATCAGAAAAAAAATATTAGTACTTAAACACATAGGCTCGTCTTTTGGATACTAAGTTTATATTAGTAACTGCAAACAAGACACTTTTAAAGTTATCATGGTTAGCCTACCACAGGCTGTTTTTATTGGAGGATAAGAAAGGATGGGTTATGAGCCACTATGCTTGTCCAGTGTGGATTGGTGCTACCACGTGAAAATGCAGCCAGGAACAATAGGGAAGATGCATGTATAATATTTATGATTATAATGTTAAAAAAATATAAAAGAAATGCCGCTGCAATGTTTTTATTTTACATAATGTTGTTTTTTAACAATTATTACGAATTAAAAATACTTGAAACAGAACGTATTTTAAAACACCAATCAGCGTTTAGTGACGTCACTCCTGTTATGACAACTTCTTTGAGGTTATGGTTGTTAAAGTACATATTATTTTATGGGAATATTAATTGCGTTTTTTTTACATTTAATAAAAATGGAAGTTGCGTTTATCAAAGCAGACTCCAGGAGTTAGTGTTGACATGGTAATAACTTTTTTGTCCAAAGTGCAGAGTTTTTAAGTGTAGAAATGAAAGGGACTAAATTACTACGGTATGTAAAAATCGTAGTTGTTAAACTTCCTATTTTAATCAGCGGCTTCTACAAATCTTACGGTGATAATGCAATCGGCTATGTGAAGATTGTGCCACACATTTTAAAGTTTATCTAATTTTCGACGTCATTCTCCAACTGTAAAATTAAAAATATGTTATAGACAGGTTTTGTAAGTATTAGGTAGGTTACTAATGCGTTTTTACGTACAAGCAGATTAATTAAGCATATAACAAGTATATTCGCCGACTTACGTCAAAGTGATCTTCACAGCATCGAATAATGGTCTTTGGAGAATAATTGTCATTTCTCCTTGCAGCTTGAAACCACTTTTTTTTCAGTTTTGGGTCAGAAGTTCCAGTCAAAAACAATTTATTTGGAAACTTTGTTGAAGTAGATTGGCACAAAACATGAGTTAACACGGCTTTTTTTCGGAATATTAGTGGTATTGTTATGATCACATGATGTTGACGGATAGTCCATTTTAAATTGTTCAAAATAATATTTCGAAAGTCGAAAAAATATGCAAAAGTATGAAAATTTAAAGCCAGCGACGAACAAGTACGACCAGTGACAGACAGAAGTGACGTCATCGCAACCATAGGTTCGCGCGAAAATTTAAATTGTCAATTTAAAACCGCAGTTTTTCCGATAAATCACAATGTTTTAATTTTTTAATATATCTGTGGTTTATTCTACATGGAATTCTTTAAAATGAAAACAAAAATAAAAATATTACATCTTCCCTATTGCTTAATGTGCCTTTCGAAGCATAGAGGCACACGAAATTGTCTCACCTCAGTCTGGCAGTGCTACCAACTCACATTAACACACTATTAGCAATTTTTTTTCTGGGCACAAAGAAAAATTACACATCAACAGGATGGGTATTGGTGCCACTTCAAGGCTTGATATCAGTCTGATGTTTTGATGTGATTTTTTAGTAAAATGTGTACTTGCCTAATCCAGTTTATTTTGGTGACAACATAGGTGATGGAACTGTGGAGCCTCCTGTAGGCCTATTCGCTACCAATATTTGTCAGGTGGTAATTATGATCATCATCATGAGCTATTTACTGAATCACTACTGCTTGATAATAACACCACTAACTAACCTGCCATGTAAATCATCGATGGATATGCAATATTCACCTTTTTACACACTGTAAATATCAAAAAATTTAGTGAAAAGGCCTACTGGTCCTGCTGCATATTTACCAGCAGTGCTATTCTGTAAAATTTTCACGCCCGGTTCCGATATGGATCCACGTGGATCCTTCGGGAATGCGTGCAGTAATGTAATGTTGAATAGTTATCATTAGTTAAGTTTAAGAAAAGAAAAATAATTATTTAGTAATATAAGTTATCATTGAGTTTCATTCCTACATACAGGTAAATTGTTAAGTTATCTCATGGTTTTGTGTAGCTTTGTAATTCTCTTCAACAGCTAGAATATTGTATGATTTCATAAAAACTGTTAATTAGGGGTATAGGTTAACAAAGCCTATTGAAAATCTGGTTCTGATGTAACAACTTGTGGCTGAATGGGAATAGCTCTTTATCTGCATTGTTTTTTAATGTACACTAAAGAGATTATGGGCGTGCATTTTTTATTATGCTTTTAAAATGCATGAATCTATGTATATTCAATCGAGGACATATTTGAGTATAAAAATCATATTGTTAAATTGTTCGCTTGAAGAATACAAGTTTATGATATAGATTTAATAGTATTGCTAGTAATTGGTAATTAACTAATTATTATAAAAAAATATGTTAACATAAATTAACTCATGCCGACACTTCTCATGGCTATTTTAATTTGTCAGTAGCCTCGTCTTCTAATTCCCTACAGAGCATGATAAGTATATTCTGCTGTCAATTTCACAAATAGCAATTACAAATAGGCATGTAAAGCTATCATAGTAATTGTTTTCTCCATAAACTTCAAAGTTATTGTTTTCTTATTGATATAAGGTCAATATGTGAAATACATGAATTTGAGGAGATTCCATGTGCAAGGTGAAACTACTGCTGGTGGCTATATCTGCTGACAAAACAAATCATATTAGTATCAGTACTATTATGATTTTTTACTCTTTCTCTATATAACTCTTCAAATATGTGCCCGAAGCCAATGGTGTCTTGAAATTAATGTTAGTGCTGCCTCATTGCTATTATAAAATAGAAGAAGTATATATATATCTCTCAAGGTCCATAGTTTCATCATAGAACATAGTTAGTAGTTTCAATCTAGGCTTGGACGGCACGTCCTGCTGCCTGCTGTTGTGGTAATATTTACAGTGCACGGAACGCATATAGACGAATTCCTAACATGATGCTTTTCACCACACTATCGACTTTTCTATTCCTATTCGTTTGGTGTACATTTTTGTCATTGACTGTTGTAATTTTTAATAATTTTAATTGATCCCAGGATGCTTGAACATTTTCACTGAGATTGCAGAATCTAAATATTGTAGCCACATCCTCTAATAGTATGCGATGGAGTTTGATGTTTGTGTGACTTGTCATGTTCATAATGATCGTCAGGTGACGGTGCGGACTTTGGACAAGCTGCCCATAATGTCACACATTTCGCACCAGTTCACGCGCAAGACCTTTTTCACGTTGGCGTTCTGCGAGTGCTGCCGCCGGCTACTGTTCAACGGCTTCTACTGCTCGCAGTGCAATTTTAAGTTCCACCAGCGCTGCGCGGACAAAGTGCCCAGCATTTGCCACCAGGTGAGAATTTATTTGACACTAGCGGTCGGCCGCGACTTCGTACGCGTGGAGTTAGTTAGAAATAAAGGTTCACTGCTCGTTCCCTGTAGGTGATAGCGTGATAAAATGTAGCCTAAATGTTTACTCGACTTCTAAATAATATTCGTGCCAAATTTTAAGTAAATCCATGCAGTACTTTTTGAGTTTATCCCGGACATACATACAAAAAAACTAAAAACTATATTTTGGCCTCGGTATCGATTGTAGACCACACGCCAAGGATTCTTTAAAAAAAAAATTCAATGTACAGTTTTGACTTTCCTACCATTTTATTATATGTATAGATCTTACAGTTTTGTCGGTATACTATGCCCGGCTCGGGTACATGTGGGATACTATGACTGACCCGAAGTGTGTAAGACAGACCGACGACATGTTAATGTACAGGAATTCAATAAGAATTGCGCAGGAGTGCGAACCTGAGTGACTCTTGCGTAAAACTGATGCTGGACTAAGAGCTTTTGCTTTTCAGAGCGGCTCGGTGTATTACCAATATTGTCCTAGAATTGGCTATTTGGTGTACTCCTTTTATTTTTCTCAATTACCCTGTGAGTCTATGAAAAAACACAAAAATGTCGATATAATTAGTAAGTAGCGCCAAGAGCATGTTTGTAAGTTATGGAGGTACTAGACAGTGGATTTCTCGCTCGATAAATATGAGCATTGTTATGAGTTTAAATGAGGTGTATTGTATCAGGTGCGAATGACGGATACGTACTACGCGGCGCTGCTGGCTCAGAACCCGGAGACCCAGGCGGGTATATTGCACTTCCCGCCGCACTTCGGCTACCACCATATGATACACAGGGGCGACCAGAGCAAGTGAGTCAATTAAACAGTACTACATAGCTAGCTTAACTAACAGCCAAGAGCGTATTTACAAATCTGGCATTCCGGGCCACTTCCAACCCCCCCCCCCCCCCCCCCCCCAAAGTAGTAAAATAAAATCAAAATATAGGTCAGTAACGAATGCCTTTATATGGCCGCCCCCCACAGCTCTTGCAGCCGGCCCGAGAAATACACCCCTGCTGACTACCACTTACTATAAGAGGCTATATTAGACTGCGTTGGGTCTGAACCATGCCAAGTATGAATGTAAAGGGCGATTTTTCAAATCCCTGATGTAACTTAACTGTTCAATATAATAATACTCAATCAAATATCATCATCCGTCACTATACACCAATTAACACAAGTCAACTCTTTATTTTGTCCGTATTATATGATACAGATGGATAAATTATATCCAGTGTTTGAGAAATAAGCCCTTAAACATGTAACTTTTTTTAACATTCAAATATAGGTGGGTACCTTTTTTCCTAAGAGAGGATTGTTATTGATGTATGTATTTTTCATTTTAAACAATTTAAGCGCAATGTGCTGTATTTTATGCAAAATATAGTTAAAGAAACGAAAGAATTGCCCACAAGTGATTTTTAAACATTGGTGTGAATTTAGTGGGGACAAACTTATTTTCTTATGTAGTGAACAATGGTATCGATTCTGGCACGAATCTCTTGACAACAGTGTATCCTTGTCATTCTCTATACAGAATGAAAAGGAGAGACTGATGTTAAATTTAGTTTTAAGTTTAGAAAATCACGCCAGAATCGACACCAGTGCCTCAATCTGCACGGACATATTGGCCTTCTTCTATGATTCAGTATGTTCTTAAACAATACTTACAATCAAAATGCCGTCTCCAAACATAGGGCGATGGTTTCAGATCAGCATAAATATTTGTCTAAATGGAGAAAAGAAAATAATGGAAAAACTAATAGAGACATTCTGAGGCCTGAGCACGAATTTTAACAGCTCCGTAACGTAACTTATCGTCAAAGTTTCTGTGAACACTATACAGCGCGCCTATTGAACTCGAGTGGTCTTGAGGCTCCAAACGGAGGGGCCACTCCCCCCATGGGGATATGTCATCCGCCTGGAATACCTCTAGAGGCAATCGTCAAGAGCCAATTCTCGGCTTGAGGTCCTCTTAGAATCTCGCTGTCCTCAAACCCGGTGACGCTGTAAAGGTCATCTGCAGTGCCGTCTTTGACCTATTGGAGATCCAGGATTATGATAATTATGGGCATATTAGGATAATGGGGCCCCTATGACTTCCGTTTGGTGATTTAACAGGAACTAGGGACTTTGTATTTGATCTGAGGGGGTCCCTCTATCGATCGCGGGGCCCTGGGCACTTGCCCAAAGTGCCTAAAGGGAAAGACGGGGCTGGTCATCTCCGACCAACAGCATACAAAAAAAAAAAAAAAAAAAAAGCCTATTGAACGCAAGAACAAATTGGCTTCTTTCATACAAAATTTGACAAGGACGATACGTTACGAAGCTCTCTTGATTTCGTGCTCGGGCTTCTGCATTCGGAAAATATCTTATAGGTGTTGTATTCTCTACGAATGTGGTATTGAAGAATAGGGGTGATGACGGGGTAAAGTAAACGAAATTCTATTAAGTCCGTCAGTTAGATGATCAAAAAATAATGGACACGTATTTTTTCTTTGGACAATCAACCAAAAAATGACAAAGTTATAGCGCGTCAAAGTTTGGGAGTAGGGGCTCGTGACGTCACTTTTGAGTGAATTTTCACTTAAAAGTGTACTCAAACGTGACGTCATGCGACTTTTCAAATCAATATATCTCTGCAATGTTCATACTATGTAAAAAAGAAAAAATACGTATCCAATACTTTTTGATAAACTACGTAATAAACGAAGAAAAAAAATTAGTCATTATCCCTATTGTTTACTGATGTAAAGGCACGTCATCTATCAGTAAACAATTTTTTTATAAAAGAAACAATAGCAAAAATTCATATTCTGCTCGGTTTCACACAATGTTATGATTAAATCTGGTTGAAAGAAAGCGAATTATGATAAAATTGAGCTTGAAAATCTACAGGTCTGTCTCGCCGGCCAAGAAGATGAAGGATTTTGATGATAACTGGTGAATATCTATCGTTTTGTGTTCGTCAGATACAATCACATATAGTTGAACAACACAATATAGTTTGAATTATTTTTAATTGATCGTCACTTTATATAAAATACTAAGTTTCTTAATTAACACCTTACATATCACTAAATATGTCAAATAATTCTTAGGCAAAATCATGCTGATTGGTGTTCAAATACTAGTTAAATTAAAAAAAAAATGTGTAAAGGAAATAGGTTCCTTATCAATGTTGTTTAACTGCGAGTCTTGAGAACGATCGCGTCAACATAAACTTTTTTTTTAATTTTCTATTTATAGTAGTACACTACGTCTTTCCCTAGATCTATCTGAACTAATGTTAAGGAAATGTTCGCGCTATGATTTACCATCTTTCTATTTTCTTCACCACCAACACTTTTATTTATTTATAAATTTCAAAAACCCTGACAAATCCTGACATTTCGTAAAAAGTCCGGGCTTTTTAGTAACAAAATGTTACCATTACTCACTTAGTTACACTGGTATGGTATTTAAAACAGTATATTCTATTATTACTCATATTCAATGTAATTAAAAAAAAATTAGATCCGGACGAAGTCTGGACTATAGTCTAAAGTTCGGATTATAGTCTAAAAGTCCGGACTATAGTCTAAAAGTCCGGACTATAGTTAAAAAGTCCGGACTATAGTCTAAAAGTCCGGACTTTACTCTAAAAGTCCGGAATATAGTCTAAAAGTCCGGACCATAGTCTAAAAGTCCGCACTATATTCTAAAAGTCCGGACTATAGTCTAAAAGTCCGGACTATAGCTTAAAAGTCCCGGATGGTAACCCTTCCCACATTAAATGTATACAATCGACATTATGTTTTAGTATAGCGCAAACACAGCGCAGCAAATGTGCGCAACAATAAAAGCGGAAATCGTCAAAACGGAACAATATGTTTAAGCTGCATCTGTCCGCGCTGTGATTGGGCGATTATTTTACGACACGCCAACAATTCTCTCTGCTAATTCATCGAGGCTTTTTCCGATACTGTTACGCAACGATATTAAATACCCTAGGTACACCAACAGAAACAGAATAGTCCCCGATACCTGTCCAAAAGGTACATTGGACTATCCATGCAGCTCCGTAACATTGAAAGTCACCTTTAATGCATACTCTATAAGGTCTTAATTAAAACGCATACGTCAAAGAGTTCTGAGAGTTCGAAATGCAAGCTCGTAAAATTTTACGAGTAATTGCTATATCCGGAAGAATATAGACCTTATTTCTTTGACTCTACGCGCAATTCTTAAATTGCTGTTAGCAATATCGCACGTACGGACCGCTAGGAAAAGAGACGGCTATATTAACGACCATGCATTTGAGTATCACAAAGATTTTCTATTAGCAATAAATCAGCTTATAGTAAGTATTAGAACAAAATTTGCTTCAAAATCGTTAAATAAACAAACATTGATTCGATACCTGTCGAAAAAGGACACTTTATATGCTATAAGTATTTTTTCGCGTTTTTGCCCGGAGATCTGCGGCAAGTTGACTTCAACGGTCCGCGCGACTGTGAACCAAGAAGTGCTTGAGTGCCCTAGATACACCACGTCCGCTCAAAATGTGTCCCAATCAAGAAGTGCTTGAACACCACTCAAGCACTTCTTGGTTCACAGTCACGCGCGGACCGTTGAAAAGTCAAGTTGCCGCAGAGCTCCGTGAAAGTGTCAGTTTTTCGACAGATATCGACAGGTATCTAATCAATGTTTGTTAATTTAACGCATTTGAAACAAATTTTGTTTTAATACTTACTATAAACTGATTTAATAGAAAATATTTGTGATACTCAATGCATGGTCGGTAATATAGCCGTCTCTTTTACTCGCGGTCCCTGCTAAATTGCAATTCAGAATTGCGAGTAGAGTCATAGAAATAAGGTCTATATTCTTCCGCATTTAGCAATAAGTTGTAAAATTTTACGAGCTTGCATTTCGTACTGTCATAACTCTTTGACGCATGCGTTTAAGTTTAAATAATACCTTATATTGTTTTTGACTACGCGATCACCTTACGGAGCTCCGTGGATCGACCAATGTACCTTTTGGACAGGTTTCGGGCATGATTTTGTTCGTGTTGGTGTGTCTAGGGTATTGAATATCGTTGATTGGAACACGTTTTGAGCGCACTTAGTGTATCTGGTATTTAATATCGTTGCTGTTCATCATCATCATCAGCCTATTAATGTCCCCACAGCTGGGGCACAGGCCTTCCCGGTGGATGGAATAGGGAGATTGGGCCATGACCCACCACGCGGGCCCAGTGCGGATTGGTGGGTGCTAACGACTGCAGATGCAGCCGGGACCAACGGCTTAACGTGCCTTCCGAAGCACGGAGGAGCTCGAGATAGTAATTTTTGGTCACCCGTCCAATGACCGACCACTGCGAAAGTTGCTTAAGTTCAACGATCGCAGCCGAATCGTTGCTGTTACCTTTGGAAATAGAAAGAGAGCTGGTGTGATCTGATCGCGTCGTTGTTGTGTGCAGGCAGCAACACCCGCGCTCGCTCAACCAGCAAGACCGATCCAACTCGGCGCCAAATGTCTGCATCAATATGGTGCAGCGACCCATGACGCTGGCCGAGCACCAAAGGAAATATAATCAGGTATGGTACAATTCAGTACAATACAAAACTCTTTATTTTACACCACAGAAAACATAAAACATGAAGTACATAATTAAAGAATACAGTGTAATAATGGGCGGTCTTATCGCTAAGAGCGATCTCTTCCAAACAACCTTAGGATGGAGAGGACAGGAATGAAGCTGGAGAGACGGCGGTGTAATTAACTACATAACAATATAAAATCATTCTAACAAATATCAAAATAAGTATATAAAACAATACATACATGTAATTATATACTTACAAGAATACATACATAGTCATATACATAAATATATATACATACATATATATATAAATATATACACAAATACATACATACCTATGTCTAATTCATTCAGCTTAGATCAACGAAAATGGAAGGGTTACAAGGACATATAGTGAGATCTAACAAGGTTTTTGAAAATGTGGAGTGATTTTGCACGTCTTATGGAAACTGGAAGAGCATTCCATAGACGAACGGCTTGTACTGCGAAAGAACGGCCATAAAAAGTTGTAGAGTGAACAGGAGTAATGAGAGCGAGATTTTCTGATGACCTTAGGGACAATGTGTTCGAATGGTGATGGGCTTATCTAGAGCTATGTCGAATCTAAGATATAAGATGCTTAGAATTTTCGCCAATTCAACATCTAGTTCGCCCCCCATCAAATATGCCAAAGAGTATGATGAAGTCCTAACAACACAAATCGGTACATTTAATTTGTACATACTCAAAATCGTTAATTTACCAGGGTACCGTAAGTGAGAGTTACTTTAGCTCGGGCGGGTAACTTTGTCCCAAATCAGAAAAAATATTGAACTTGCCGCCCCATCAGTATCTTTTGGGTGACCGTAATAGTTCCAGTTGAAAATCACAGATAGCCATATAGGCCCGCAGTGTGGTGTTGTTTTACCGACATCGTTCCTGTATCAAGTTGTCATTGTAACACGGGATTTTTTGCAAACAGAAATAGTTCGCAAGTTCATGCGCAAACTTTCTCAAAACTGTGGTTTTCGGTAAGTTTACTATTTTGACGTGACAACGTCTTAAATTAGGTTGCGGCTGGGAGTCACTTATGAAAAAGTGTAACGCTCGGTAACGTTACGATGAGTCTCTCGTGTTAAGTTTAAGTTTACATGTACAATGTTTTAGTAAACAAAATATATTTCTATAGTTAAAATTTGTGCAATTCTTATTTTCATTCAATTCCTTGTTCCTATTGTGCAATTTAATTATATTCATATCAATAAATATTCTACCGAGAAAAAGACGTTGTCACGTAAAATCTTCGCCCGTAAAACCGACTTTACAGGCAACCATTTTTTTGGCAAAAACATCCGTTTGTGTATTCAGTATGCTAATGGTGATCTGTTATAAGGGTTAAAATGAGTTTTTTTTTTCACAGAGAGAACTCAACGAGCTAAAGTAACCATCTATCAGGCCAACTTTGTCCCAAAATTAAAAAAATATATATTAACCCTTAAATATTATTTTTTCCTATTTTCGTATGATAACTTTGTAACTTATACTTAAAAGTTCACAATGTCAAGATATAAACGTGACATATTCATCACAAAGAGAAGCTACAATTTTATTTGAAAAAAAAGTGCACATTTTAGGTCAAAGTAACCTGCAGTTTCGTGGATCCTTTCGGTTTGCAGCCTCAAAGTGTTGGAACGATCTCCCGCCGCCCGTGCGTGATCTGAAAACCATTAGAACATTCAGAAAACATCTCAAAATATATCTTCTTCATTTACAAAGTTTAGAATAAAATTCAAAACTAACCTAGTTTTATTCACGTCGCGCCGGTTAGTTTGGATCGTTCCGGTTATCTTAGCTAGCACTATCGACGATTCACGTAATGTTTGTTGGTGATTTGAAGCCATATCCTAATATAAAATCTCGCCATCCAGCTTGCTATGATTATATGGTTATGTTGTATATCTATGCCAATAATCGTAATCGTATTAATCGTTGCGCACAGGCATGGATCGGCAGTAGAAATACTATAAAATTTGCAATTCTTTTAATTATTAGTTTTTTATATTAGTTTTCTTTCTTTTGTTTTTTGTTTAGGTCTTCCAGTCTGTAGTCTGTCCTACCACAGATTAATCATTCTTTTTTTATTTTTTCTTTTAATTTTTTTGTACTTTTTCTGTAAAGTTAAGGATTATAAAAACATTCAGCCTTATTTGTTATTATCTTTTTTTTTTCCTTTTTTTTTAAAGTGTACATTGGTATGGTTGTATTATAATGTCTCATCTGTGTCATCAACCTTAGGCCCTGCCAGAATCACCAGCGCTGCAGCAGCCCTGATGTTGCTGCAGTATCAAGCTGAGGCAGGGACCTAGTTGACCAAAAAATATATATTTTTTTATTGTTCTTATTTTAGGTTAAAAATACTGTTAATATATATTATATTTTTATATAAAAATACTGTAAATAGTTTAGTTATGGTCAATAAAATTTCTTTCTTTCTTCTTTCTTTCAGTTACTCGGTATATGAAAAACCAAAAATTCAACAATCGTTTATGAACCTTGGAAATTTACCACTAGATTTAAAACCGTGATTTTTGAGTTTTTTTACAAGTTTGTATAGTTTTACTAGCTGCTCGATTTATAATTCTTTTCTCGATATAATTTTATACTTTCAATGTAGGTGTAGATGAAAGGGCTACAAATAATTAACAGTTATATTATTTCTATAATACAACGCGATAGATTGATATATTTGTATACATCAATCAGCCATCTGCTTAGTTGTTGGGGTAACCGTACACAGCTAGTGTTGTCCCCAGAATACCAATTCACCAGTATCAACGAACTACTTGTCCTCCCGCGCGGCGCGAGGCACGCGCGGCGAGGCACAGAGTCACAGCACGCAGGCCTCGCCCACCGGCACCTTGAGGCCGAGGCGGGCCCGCGCGAGATCTGCAGACGAGTCCTGGAAGAACGCCCTATCACCGCGAGAAAGCTACGATGATTGGGTCATACACGCGGACGAGATACTCATCGGGCCCAGGATAGGTGAGTTAGATCCTTCTGACAGAGTCACAGCACGCAGGCCTCGCCCACCGGCACCTTGAGGCCGAGGGGGCCCGCGTGAGATCCACGGATGAACGCAATATCACCGCGAGAAAGCTGCGATGATTGGGTCATACACGCGGATGAGTTACTCATCGGGCCTAGGATAAGTGGGTCAGATCCTTCTGACAAAATCACATCACGCAGGCCTCGCCAACTAGCACGTTGAGTCCGCGGCAGAGTTACGACAACTGGGTCATTCAAGCTGACTAATACTGACACCCAGAAAAGGTGAGTGGGGTCCCTTCTAGCAGTCCCACAGAGTTATAGCGCGTAGGCTTCGCCAACCGGCACTCCAAGGCGCGAGAGATTTGTGGATGGAACCTGCAAAAACGGCACTTTCATCGCAAGAAAGCTACGATGATTGGGTCATACCAGCAGACGAGATACTCATCGGGCCCAGGATCGGTGAGTCAGATCCTTCTGACAGAGTCACAGCACGCAGGCCTCGCCCACCGGCACCTTGAGGCCGAGGCGGGCCCGCGCGAGATCTGAGGACGAATCCTGAAAGAACGCACTGTCACCGCGAGAAAGCTACGATGATTGGGTCATACACGCGGACAAGATACTCACCGGGCCCAGGATAGGTGAGTAAGATCCTTCTGACAGAATCACAGCACGCAGGCCTCGCCCACCGGCACCTTGAGGCCGAGGCCCGCGCGAGATCTGAGGACGAATCCTGAAAGAACGCACTATCATCGCGAGAAAGCTACGATGATTGGGTCATACACGCGGACAAGATACTCATCGGGCTCAGGATAGGTGAGTAAGATCCTTCTGACAGAATCACAGCACGCAGGCCTCGCCCACCGGCACCTTGAGGCCGAGGCGGGCCCGCGCGAGATCTGAGGACGAATCCTGAAAGAACGCACTATCACCGCGAGAAAGCTACGATGATTGGGTCATACACGCGGACAAGATACTCACCGGGCCCAGGATAGGTGAGTAAGATCCTTCTGACAGAATCACAGCACGCAGGCCTCGCCCACCGGCACCTTGAGGCCGAGGCCCGCGCGAGATCTGAGGACGAATCCTGAAAGAACGCACTATCACCGCGAGAAAGCTACGATGATTGGGTCATACACGCGGACAAGATACTCATCGGGCTCAGGATAGGTGAGTAAGATCCTTCTGACAGAATCACAGCACGCAGGCCTCGCCCACCGGCACCTTGAGGCCGAGGCCCGCGCGAGATCTGAGGACGAATCCTGAAAGAACGCACTATCACCGCGAGAAAGCTACGATGATTGGGTCATACACGCGGACAAGATACTCATCGGGCTCAGGATAGGTGAGTAAGATCCTTCTGACAGAATCACAGCACGCAGGCCTCGCCCACCGGCACCTTGAGGCCGAGGCCCGCGCGAGATCTGAGGACGAATCCTGAAAGAACGCACTATCATCGCGAGAAAGCTACGATGATTGGGTCATACACGCGGACAAGATACTCATCGGGCTCAGGATAGGTGAGTAAGATCCTTCTGACAGAATCACAGCACGCAGGCCTCGCCCACCGGCACCTTGAGGCCGAGGCGGGCCCGCGCGAGATCTGAGGACGAATCCTGAAAGAACGCACTATCACCGCGAGAAAGCTACGATGATTGGGTCATACACGCGGACAAGATACTCACCGGGCCCAGGATAGGTGAGTAAGATCCTTCTGACAGAATCACAGCACGCAGGCCTCGCCCATCGGCACCTTGAGACCGAGGCGGGCCCGCGCGAGATCTGCAGACGAGTCCTGGAAGAACGCCCTATCACCGCGAGAAAGCTACGATGATTGGGTCATACACGCGGACGAGATACTCATCGGGCCCAGGATAGGTGAGTCAGATCCTTCTGACAGAGACACAGCACGCAGGCCTCGCCCACCGCCACCTTGAGACCGAGGGGGCCCGCGTGAGATCCACGGATGAACGCAATATCACCGCGAGAAAACTACGATGATTGGGTCATACACGCGGACGAGATACTCATCGGGTCTAGGATAAGTGAGTCAAATCCTTCTGACAAAATCACTACACGCAGGCCTCGCCAACTAGCACCTTGAGTCCGCGGGAGAGTTACGACGGCCGGGTTATTCAAGCTAAGGAGATACTCATTGGGTCCAGGAAAGGTGTGTGAGGTCCCTCCTAGCAGTTCCACGGAGTCACAGCACGCAGGTTTCGCCACCCAGCACCTTGAGGCCGCGGCAGAGTTACGACAACTGGGTCATTGAAGCTGACGAGATACTGACACCCCGAAAAGGTGAGTGGGGTCCTTCTAGCAGTTCCAGAGAGTTACAGCGCGTAGGCTTCGCCAACCGGCATTCCAAGACGCGAGAGATTCGCGGATGGAACCTGGAAAAACGGCATTTTCATCGCAAGAAAGCTACGATGATTGGGTCATACCCGCAGACGAGATACTCATCGGGCCTAGGATAGGTGAGTCGAGTCCCTTCCGATAGTTACACATACTCATAGTACGTGAGGAGCTCAATGGCGCAAGTGGTTAGCGCGTTCGGCTGCGATCGTTGAACTTAAGCAACTTTCGCAGTGGTCGGTCATTGGATGGGTGACCAAAAATTACTATCTCGAGCTCCTCCGTGCTTCGGAAGGCACGTTGAACTGTTGGTCCCGGCTGCATCTGCAGTCGTTAGCACCCACCAATCCGCACTGGCCCCGCGTGGTGGGTCATGGCCCAATCTCCCTATTCCATCCATAGGGAAGGCCTGTGCCCCAGCAGTGGGGAGATTAATAGGCTGATGATGATGATAGTACGCAGGCCTCGCCAACCGGTACCTTGAGGCGATCCGCGGGAGAACTACGACGACTGGATCATCTATTCAAATGAGATACTCAAGGGGCCACACACAGAGTCTAAGATCTGGTCGTTGGGTATATACGACGATCTGGTCGTTGGGTATATACGACGATCTGGTCATACACGCCGACGAGATATCGTCCGATGAGTATCTTGTCGGCATTTATGACCCACTAGCGGCCCGCCCTCACTTCGGTGTAGAGCTGAAGTGTAGACTACAGTTTTTGTTCTCAGGCTTGTATTATACACAATGACATTCATCTATGATTGTTCTTATACCTGCATGCAAAGTCGTAGCCCGTCATCGGTTTAAAATTGACAGAATTTCATACAAACTTTCATTCCCTATTTTATCCCCTTGGGGGTAGAATTGATCAAAATCCTTTCTTAGCGGATGCCTACGTCATAACATCTACCTGCATGCCAAATATCAGCCCGATCCGTCCAGTGGTTTGGGCTGTGCGTTGATAGATCACTATGTCAGTCAGTCACCTTAGATTGGGCCCAAGATAGGTGAGTCAGGACTCAGGACCATGGTCCTAGCAATGTGGGTCGGGTGATCAGTGCAGGAGTATTCCCTGGTTTTTTATTGTAGGTAGGGCCTGTTCCTTTCATCAAGCCCCAAGGCTCAAAAAATGAGCAGTAGACCAGGGTCGATAATTTTAAAAATGGTGAAAAGTGAAAAAAAATTATAGTAGGATGAAACCCATTAGAAAAGGTAGAGAATATAACAAAAATGAAAGGAAAAATAAATTACGGGCGATCTGAGGTCGGGAAGGGGGAGGGGGTGAGTTTTTAAGGGTAAAAAATGGTTAATCTCGATTTCCGGTAAAACTGCAACTCCTATGAAAAAAAGTTAAATGGCAAAGTTGTAGGTAATAAAAACATCTACAACTTTTGTATCGACACTTTTTTCACATAACCTCAAAATTTATGTGAAAAATGCGAATAACCGAGTTTTTTGTTTTTGATTTTTATTTTTTGCAAAAAAAAATATTTTTTCACGAAATTTAATAAACAAAAAACACCCCAACTTTTTTAAAAAATCAGATATTTTGACGTGACAATTTTCGATTGAAAATAAGGGTGCTTTTTGGATATTAAGTCAAAATAAGGTGAAAAAATGAATATTTTAAATCAAAAAAATTACTGTATGTTTGGGACATACAAAGGTAAGTTTTCACCAAATTTCGTGAAAAAATATTTTTTTTTTGCAAAAAATAATAATCAAAAACCAAAACCTCGGTTATTCGCATTTTTCACATAAATTTTGAGGTTATGTGAAAAAAGTGTCTATACAAAAGTTGTAGATCCTTTTATTACCTACAACTTTGCCATTTAACTTTTTTCATAGGAGTTGCAGTTTTACCGGAAATCGAGATTAACCATTTTTTACCCTTAAAAACTCACCCCCTCCCCCTTCCCCTTCCCGACCTCAGATCGCCCGTAATTTATTTTTCCTTTCATTTTTGTTATATTCTCTACCTTTTCTAATGGGTTTCATCCTACTATAATTTTTTTTTGTCTCAAAAATTATCGACCCTGGTCTACAGGGACGATTCCACGGTACCTTCTCGCTCCCCCGGTGGCTGAGTGATGAGTAAAGGTTATTTCCCAGACCCAAAGAAAAGTTTACAATCGTGGTTTCTTCCTTTACCCAGGTTCCGGCAGTTTCGGGACGGTGTACAAGGCGCACTGGCATGGGCCCGTGGCGGTGAAGACGCTCAACGTGAAGACTCCCACGCCCGCGCAGCTGCAGGCATTCAAGAATGAGGTAATATGACATATTTGAACGAAAGCTGTATGTTTCCTAGGTTTGGGTACAAGTAAATCTAATATATAAAATTCTCGTGTCGCGGTGTTTGTGGTTAAACTCCTCCGAAACGGCTCGACCGAATTTCGTGAAATTTTATATGCATATTCAGTAGGTCTGAGAATCGGATGTAATCTATTTTTCATCCCCCTAAATGTTAAGGGTACCCCCCCCCCCATTTTTTTTTAATTTTAGATTTTTTTTTTATTTTTTTATGATACATCATACAAAAATACATACAACCCTAAATTTTCACCCTTTTACCACCAATCCCAATTGTTTTATGGCGGTACGAAGTTCGCTGGGACAGCTAGTCTAATATATAAAATTCTCGTGTCGCAATGTTTGTGGTTAAACTCCTCCGAAACGGCTTTCCAGATTCTCATAAAATTTTGTGTGCATATTGGGTAGGTCTGAGAATCGAACAACATCTATTTTTCATCCCCCTAAATGTTATGGGTAATCCAACCCTAATTTTTTTTTTTCAATTATAGATATATTAATTTTCAACTTTCTACCACCAACCCCTATTTTTGTATGGCGGTACGAAGTTCGCTGGGTCAGCTAGTATTACAATATATTTGAACGAAAGCTATATATATGCTTCCTAGATTTGGGTACAAGTAAATAAATAAATAAATATTTTCCAACATTCACACCAATTAGCCTAGCCCCAAAGAAAGCACTGTAAGGTTATGTTGTGTTATGGGATACTAAGGTAACGGATAGAATACATATACAGTACATATATAAGTATATTTATATAGAAATACATATTAAACATCCATGACTGGAGTACAAATGCTCGTATTCATCACACAAACATCTGCCCCCACCTGGATTGGAACCCGGGACCTATCGAGTCGGTGACACCATGAAATCCGGCGTACAAACCACTCGACCACGAAGGTCGTCAAAGTACATAATATTTTAGTAATTAACGAGATCGCTAACATTTGCATGTTTTTTGTGAGTATCTGATATTTCGGATCTTGCAAGCACCATGATCATGGAGTAACTGAAGAAGAAATTGCGGGTAGATGTTATTGGCAGATATATCGGTCTACCGTCTGATGAAGTTTTTTATTGCGCTGGTGAGATTCTCACTACTCACTCGCACCTGTTCCCGACACACAATACAGTATTCGATCCCAATTACATAATGGTAAAATGGTAATTAAAATTTTTGGTAATTCGACTAACGAAGTACAGTTGAAAATATGTTGATAAGGCAATAAAAAATATGAAACAAATTGTTTTTGCGGAAAATTCTTTACTTATGGACTAATTAGTTTTTTCTCATCAGATAATGTACCTTAAGTGTTTATCCATAAATGTGGCAGTGCTTCGGAAGGCATGTTAAGCCGTTGGTCATGGCTGCATCTGCAGTCGTTAGCACCCGCCAATCCGCACTGCGCCCGCGTAGTGGGTCATAGCCCAATCCGCCTATTCCAACCATAGGGAAGGCCTGTGCCCCAGCATAAGTAATTAATAGGCTTTTTTTATTTTATTATTATATAGGGGGCATACGAGCAGACGGCTCACCTGATGATAAGTGATCACCGTCGCCCATGGACACTTGCAACACCAGGAGTATCACAAATGCGATGCCGGCCTTTAAGGAAGGAGTACGCTCTTTTTTTGAAGGTTCTTGGGTTGTATTGCTGGCGACAACATATTCCACAGTTTTGTCGTACTTGGTAAAAAATTTCGACAAAAACGCACGGTTGTGGATAGCTACGCATCAAGATGATGGGGATGAAATTTTTGATGATGACGATACTTTAGTTCTTGTTTCGAGGTTTGGACCGATAATGAACCTTAAATGTTTGTCCATAAAGGTGGCAGTACTACGTAAGACGAGGCATAGCAACATTCTGTTGTTCATGGGCTGCGTGTCGAAGCCGTCGTTGGCGATAGTGACGCAGTGGTGCGAAGGCTCCTCCTTGTACCAACATCTGCACGTTTTAGAGACACCATTCCCAATGCTGTACCCCATTGACGTCGCGCGGCAGACTGCGCAAGGCATGGACTATTTGCACGCCAAGAATATTATACACAGGTAAGTGAAAAAAATAAATAAATCATGTATAATGCGATTCAACTAAGAATAGGACCGACTGGACGCCATACTGTGACGTCATAGCTGTCAATTCAAACAAAATAGGTAGAGTGAGAAGAAAAAAAGATTTTATTTACTAAAACTTATTTACTAAGATTAGGTGAGAAAAATCATCAGATTTTTTAATACAAATTATTTATTAAGTTAGAGAAAAAAACCTACCGATTTTTAATAATATTTATTCATTAAGACTGTGTGAGAAAAAACATAGAAGTACTGTATAATAATAATAATAATAAATATATCTTTATTCAAATAAGGTCATACATTGCATAATAATACTAATAACAATATAAAGTACAAAATAATGGATGCCTGAACTAGGTTACAGTTTAAATTTTACCTGTGTTTCAGGCTTTTATGATCTAAATAATACATTGAATGATTAATAAATTAACAAATTAATTAAAACAGAACTCAAAGTAATCATTATATAAATGTTGGTAAATGTAAATTATGGAGTTACGTTCATTTATTTACAAATAAGTAGTAATTCTTCGGTCTGCTCGTATGTCAGGCTGTGCAAATAATTAAATACTACAGTTAAAATAGTTTAATGTATAAAGTATTAGGTATACTCTATTTAACTTATTATATAAGAAAGGACTTAGGAAAGTAGAGAATCTATGTGAAAAGATGTATTTTGAATCATGTGTAGAGATGCAGACTATATCTTTCCGTCTTTTGTTAGTGATATCAGAGCAAAAAGGTGAAATGGTGTGTTGTTTTAATATGGTGTGCATAATGAAAAGCTGGCGAACAGTTAACACATTACAGTATTTGTAAAGTTGATGCGTAGGATATAAGAAGATAAGTGAATTGGCTACTTTTAAAATGACTCTCTGAGCTCGCTCGAGAGGGATTAAAATAGTTTTGAGAGCTCCACCCCATGAAGTTATACAATATTGAATTACTGATTGGCATAAGGCCTGATATACCTGTTTAATTAGTTTTGGACCTGCAATGGTACGTAATTTTTTAAAAATATACATTAATTTACGGATCCTGACTACTAGATTTGCAATATGCTGTCTAAAAGATAATGTGTCGTTAATTAAGATACCAAGAGATTTTATATGGGATGTGTTCTGTATTAAAGGGCAATCGCATTTATTGACTGAAGGATATTGGCATTGGTGTGCGTATAAGTTAGGATTTGTAAACCCATGACAAGGCTGGCGCATAGAAAAGTGAATATATTTGGTTTTGTCAGTATTCAGTGTTAGTAAATTGCAGCGAAGCCAGTTATTTACACCATTAAGACCAAGTTGAGCTACCTCATATAATTCTGACCTACTATTGGCGCTAAAAATCAAGGCCGTATCATCGGCGTAAGATATAATTTTACCACATTTTAAATTAAGGTTACATAAATCATTGATGTAAACGAGAAAAAGGGTAGGGCCGATTATACTTCCCTGGGGAATACCATAGCAGGTCATTTTCTGGTAATCACTTTTAATATTTCCTATTTTAACGCATTGAGATCGATTGTCTAAATAATCTGCAAATAGTTTTAACTGCGTTCCTCTAATACCCAATGCTTCCAACTTTTTTAGAACCTTCGGAATTGAAACGGTATCGAACGCTTTTGCTAAATCAAGAAAAACAGCTAGAGTATGCTTTCCTTTGCCTAGTTCCTGAGTAATATAGTTAGTCAGGTTATGCACCGCATCTGCTGTTGACAACTTTGCCCGAAAACCAAATTGCGTAGGTGAACATTAAACAGAATCTAGCTCTTCAATTCCGTTCATCTCTGCATTACCGCCGGAGTAGTTATGAATAATCATGTATTATGGCTAGGTCACATACGAACATGCGCCCTTTGTGTAAACGAAAGTTTTAAATCGAGTTAATGAGCGCAACTTAAAGTGACATTTGGTTGACGATTTAAGTTATCAAACAGTCATAGCCATAGCTCAAAAAATTAAATAAATATTAAACAATTTTAATCATTAATATTTGTTATTGGTTGTTTGCAATAGGCTAGTTGACTCATGTCGAATTGTATTAAATAAATGTTTATTTCTTAAAGTATTTGGTCTAAGGAACCTAAATATATCGATTTCACTTCATAAAAGCAGAAGATTGCCGTAGAAATTTAATTTAAAAAAAATATTTTTAGTCTATATATTTTAAACACTAAAAACGCTGTTCGCCACATCCGCCATGATTGTGACGTCTCTTTTAGTAAACAACTAAATGTCATTCATACATAACTTTAAAACTTGTATTATTAAAACTGATAATAAATGAAGAGACTTAAAATATTATTCAATGAGTACTTACATCAAAGTGATCTTCGCAAAAATAAATTTTACTATGAGTCGATAAAGTTGCAGGATCACTTTTAGCAAGTTCTAACCAGGTATTGCGTAGGTTAATTTTTTTCGGCACTTTAATCCACAACTTTCCTGGAGTCTTCAAGGTTCTTACATTCTCGTACAATACAATAATGATAATTACTATATTTTTCGTGGTATCTATTAGAAATCATGTTTATTTTATTATTATAAACTCAGATAGGTTATTTTCTACGTGCTTACGAGTTTTTGTTTACTACCGTCAACGACATAGCATAGATAATCTATAGACTAAAATGGCCGACAGCGTTTTTGTATGTCCATGAAAAGTCTATTTTAAAATTAAAGATTTGTAACTTTCTAGGTCTCAAAAAAATACAATACATTTTTTTTCGGTCTAATAGAACATTTATTAACCATTTAAAACCTTTTTCCAAAAAGGGTCAACTAGCCTATTGTTTGGTTTTTATTCTAGAATTAGCTAAGTGCTAATAAGGGGTTCCAAAATTTTTTTGCAGACCGTACTTCTCAAGCGACATTTGACAGATGAAGGTCATTGGCTTTCCTATACTTATTTGAATCGCATTATATGTATTTATTTTAATAACTCGATCGACTTGGCATGTTTCGGAATAGTCCTTCCGAGTTTATAAAAAGTTTAATTTTCGTATTTAAAGTTACAGGTTCTTCGTTAGTGAACATGGAATTTTAGACTTTAGTTGAATTACACTGTTTGACCAGATTTGTAATAGATTTACAGTTTTTTTTTAATTTAAACTACTATAGCAGTTAAATGGTTAAGAAATTAAAAAAACAAATTGTTTACAGGGACCTAAAGTCGAATAATATTTTCCTGAGAGACGACTGGTCTGTCAAAATAGGAGATTTTGGACTGGCGACCGCCAAAGTACGGTGGTCAGGTGAGTAGGAATTTATGTCCATTTGTGTGTTTTATTAGAATTTATAACTGCTGTACCAGCTATTTTCGCGTTTGGAGTTTATCAACATTTAACATCAGGAGCGGTAGAGTCATTTGCCTACCTGGCTATAAAAAAATAATAAATAAATAAAAATCACTCCAAAGGGCCAAACCGCAAAGGTTTCGCTGTTAGCTGTAAATTCTTTGTCGGCGAAACAAGAGCGAAATCCCCTGCTCTGATGTACAAAACTAACTATAATTTTGACTCTTTCTAATAAGATTTCGCTCATTTGCTCTGGCGCCGTCTGTAGGTGTATTCCGAAATATACATCAGTATACTGGCCAGTGGTAATGACGTCACGAATCCGACGCCATATTGTACTGGTATGCTACCATATTTTTATCGGGAAAACGAATATGACGTACGACTGAGCGTGCGTGAGATGCATTCGAATTTTATTTCTTTTTTATTTAAAGAATATTGATGGCATTCGGACAAAAAGAATTCCTTTTAATTGATGAGGTGAATAAAAAATCTTCTTTCTTCGCACTACTTTTAATATTTTGTTGATTTATGACGTCAGTTCACTGGGCAGTATATTTTGGAACAATTCACCAGTATAGCATCGATTTATGACGTCATTAGCACTGGCCAGTATACTGGTATATATAAAGGAATACACCCTATTTGCTCGCCATTTCGCAGCGGTACTGCATATGATTATATGTGTCTGTAGCAATCGACAATTTGTGATATCGAAATAGGAAAGCAGTGAAATATAGACCAAGAATGACTCTAGCTCTTTACATAATCGATTTTCTCCCAACTTCATTCTTTTCTTATTGATATCATGCACCCAGGTACTACGTCTTTTAATGTCGTCGACCACAGTAAGATTAGTTCCTCACCTGATTCTGAAATCGACATTTTCTTTCGGTTGGTATTTCTCAACTAATTATCAATCTTATAAACTTTAATTATTTATGTAAATCAGTTTATGTATACTATTATATATTCTATATTTATTTTTACACCATTGTATAATTTATATTCTTGTCTCTAGCAATCTCGTACAGGCTCTGCCAGAATGAGGGCTATCGTTTTTTGTCTCACCAGATGGCGCCACTGTTGAGTGAGGTCCTGAAGTGTAACTTTTAAAGTTAGTAAACACGCTCGTGATATCAAAGTTTACATTTTAATACAAAAGAATCGTATCTTAAACATAATCGCCCATGCCACAGTGTTGCGCAGTCCCGTTTTGTTCGGAAAAAGGAAGGACAATATTTTTTCTTAGCTCCGCTTTTAAATAACTGACAATCATTGACACGTAACTCATATTTGCCATAATAAGTCTGATTTATTACCAAATATTCACAACTATTATTTTAATTAGAAAAGAACCGCGTAGTCAACCCGCAAGCTATAACATTTGACATTTCGGAGACCTCACGCAACACAAGCGCCTCTAGCGGCGGTTTCAGACGCGATAGCCCTCATTGGCAGCGCTGTTATGGTGGGAATATTCCCTTCCTACTATAACAGCATTAAGCTGAGGCAGGGTCCTGATTGGCCTTTCTTCTCTCTCCATGTTGTTGCTCTGTGTTTCTTTTGATGTGAAACATCTTTCGGTGCACGTAAAACAGATTTCTGGAGTGGCGACGCCCGCCCGTAAAATGCACGCCAGCGCCCTTCGAGGCAGGCGACCTAAGTATTTTTTTACCGCACGCATCCCGAGCAATTCTCCTAGTGTATTTTTCGTAAACCGGCTAAGTGATTCAAATCTGCCAGGCGTCCCGTGACGGCTCACATTTTGATTGCTATATTTAAATAATAAATAAATATTTCCAACACTCACACCAATTAGCCTAGCCCCAAAGTAAGCACTGTAAGGCTTGTGTTATAGGATACTAGGGTTAAGGATAGAATACATTATTACTGTACATATATAAGTATATTTTTATATAGAAATACATATTAAACATCCATGACTGGAGTACAAATGCTCGTATTCATCACACAAACATCTGCCCCCACTAGGTTCGAACCCGGGACCTCTCGGCCACTGAGGTCGTCAGTATCAGTCATATTTATTGTTTTTTTGAAGTTATACTTCTTTAGGCGCGTTATGAAAAAATGATGAGAGTGAAATTTTAAGATGCGCGCGCTTCACTGTAACACAAAATTTTAAGCGCTAATGCGACCAACTTCATGCTGTTACTTTTGTGTTTACCGCACATTAAGAAAATCTACCAACAAAATAGAAATAGAATCTCTATTTAGTGGGTGCTAACGACTGCATTGTGAAGGCCTATCAAAAGTATTTATTAATCTGGAACAACGGAACCAAAGCGCGATTCAGGAGACTACAGCGCCATCTCTTGACCATTGGTATAGTAGAACCAAAAACCACATCTTTATTTTTTGTAATAAAGTAACAGTTATAGGTATTCATATTGATAATATCAAAAGTATTTATTAATCTGGAACAACGGAACCAAAGCGCGATTCAGGAGACTACAGCGCCATCTCTTGACCATTGGTGTAGTAGAACCAAAAACCACATCTTTATTTTTTTTACCTACATATGTGTAAGGTGAATAAAAGCTTTTTCTCTCTTTCTAATGACATTGTATCGTTCGATAGACACATCGGGCGCGGGCGGCGTGCAATGGCAGCAGCCGACCGGCTCCATACTGTGGATGGCGCCCGAAGTGATCCGCATGGAGGAGCCTGCGCCCTACACTTTCCGCTCCGACGTCTACGCGTACGGCGTCGTGCTCTATGAACTGTTGGCCGGGGAATTACCTTACGCGCACCTCAACAACAAGGACCAGGTCTGTATACCGCCGTAGATTTACGAACCGATGGCGTAGCTTCTAGACATTCATATGTGCTTGTAACAGCCTAAACTGAATAAATGATTTTGATTATGATTATACACGGATTAGGAGGCCTACTCTAATTCGAAGAAAAGCGAAATTTAGATCGAACCTTAGCACTTTTCTTATACTATGTTTCTTGTTCGTTTTTCATTATAATAATATTCGTTGTCGGAATATAGATTGAGATGTAGATTTTCTAAGCCTACTCAAAGTAAGCTTAAATTTGATAGTTTATCGTTCCAAATTAATTATAACCCTAAATTGACGAATTTAAATTTCGTTTGAAATTCCTTATCGAAAGTTCGTAGACCCCCAGGTGTGTATGCGTACGGCATCGTGCTCTACGAACTGTTAGCGGGGGAATTACCTTAAGCACACCCTAAAAACGAAGACCAGGTCTGTGTACGGCATAGAATGAGTACTTTAAGATTGACAGAGTGAGGAAAAAAGATATCCCTCGCAACAATCCTACGAGGTAGGAAGAGACGCAACAAGATGTACCTTTGGTCCGATAAAATAAGTGCCCTGTCGAGCCGTAATGTGATACAGTTTATTAGGAAACTCTGTGAAACTTGAGAAAACAATTGTGCTTATACAATTAAGTTTCTGTCATGGTATCCCGTGTTTATTTTGACAAAACGACACTATCACTCACAAATTCACAATTAAATACCGATACGCTAACAACATGCACAATTATATTTTTGAAACACTTGCGATGGGTACTCTATCTTTACATCCTACATGTATGGTATACGGGGACCAAATCTGCGTACGGCAAAAACAAGGACCAGGTCTGTATACACAGACCAGGTAAAAATATCTTCATGAGCTAAGAGTGATTTCTATTATACTAGCAGCCCCCTGCGACTTTGTCTACTTGAACGTCACGGGACACTTGAGTGTCTCAAACTTCTCAAGAAGATTTAAATATCATGCGATATCTCTTCGCGTCGGCAATGTCGTGGGTACCCGAGCATAGCTGCGGACCATAAGAAGGGTCGGCTTTACGATGCTCAAGCTATAGGCTTATGTATGAAGTTATTAAGGGCGCTTTCAATTTATACGTTTCTTGACGGCCTGCTGCGGTGCCGAAGCGGTGCGTTTGTCGTACAGCGTACGGACGATCCTTTAAAACGTGCGGTGCGGCAACAATGCGGCGCCGGTACCGCGAACGCTCGACAACTGGACTGTTGCCGCACCGCACGTTTTTTATGAAAAAAAAAAATGGGTGCGTGTACTTATGTAGGCGCGTGAGAAGTTATCCTTCTTTGGCATCGTTTAAAATTAGTTTTTAATTGCATGCAAATAATTAATTACAAAAATTAATAAAAAGTCTGGAAAAGGACACAGTCAATAAAGTTCAGTTTTAATTTGAAAAAATAAATAAATAATCAAAATATTCAATTAAAATCGCTACTGAATATAATTTATTAGAACATATGTGATTTGCACTTGTATAAAACTCAAACACGTATTCCGAATATACAAACTAGAAACATGTGGATAAATATTATAAATATGAATACCTATAACTGTTACTTTATTACAAAAAATAAAGATGTGGTTTTTGGTTCTACTACACCAATGGTCAAGAGATGGCGCTGTAGTCTCCTGAATCGCGCTTTGGTTCCGGTGTTCCAGATTAATAAATACTTTTGATAGGCCTTCACAATGCAGTCGTTAGCACCCACTAAATAGAGATTCTATTTCTATTTTGTTGATAGATTTTCTTAATGTGCGGTAAACACAAAAGTAACAGCATGAAGTTGGTCACTAAAGCGACCAACTTCATGCTGTTACTTTTGTGTTACAGTGAAGCGCGCGCATCTTAAAATTTCACTCTCATAATTTTTTCATAACGCGCCTAAAGAAGTATAACTTCAAAAAGGATCGTCCGTACGCTGTACGCGTTTGTACGACAAACGCACCGCTTCGGCACCGCAGCAGGCGTCAAGAAACGCATAAATTCAAAGCGCTATAAAGTCGAAGCTATGTTGAATGTTATTATTATCGCAGATCCTATGGATGGTGGGTCGAGGCTTGCTTCGGCCAGACGCGAGGCGAGTACGAGCCGACACCCCGCAGGCGCTCAAGCGGCTCTTACTCGACTGCGTGCACTTCGACCGCGACCAGCGACCGCTGTTCCGGCAGATCCTCGCCTCGCTCGAGGCCATGCTGCGCGCCATGCCCAAGATCACCAGGTGCCCGCTCCATGCATACGCCCCGCAGGCGCTCAAGCGGCTCGCCCTCGACTGCGTGCACTTCGACCGCGACCAGCGACCGCTGTTCCGGCAGATCCTCGCCTCGCTCGAGGCCATGCTGCGCGCCATGCCCAAGATCACCAGGTGCCCGCTCCATGCATACGCCCCGCAGGCGCTCAAGCGGCTCGCCCTCGACTGCGTGCACTTCGACCGCGACCAGCGACCGCTGTTCCGGCAGATCCTCGCCTCGCTCGAGGCCATGCTGCGCGCCATGCCCAAGATCACCAGGTGCCCGCTCCATGCATACGCCCCGCAGGCGCTCAAGCGGCTCGCCCTCGACTGCGTGCACTTCGACCGCGACCAGCGACCGCTGTTCCGGCAGATCCTCGCCTCGCTCGAGGCCATGCTGCGCGCCATGCCCAAGATCACCAGGTGCCCGCTCCATGCATACGCCCCGCAGGCGCTCAAGCGGCTCGCCCTCGACTGCGTGCACTTCGACCGCGACCAGCGACCGCTGTTCCGGCAGATCCTCGCCTCGCTCGAGGCCATGCTGCGCGCCATGCCCAAGATCACCAGGTGCCCGCTCCATGCATACGCCCCGCAGGCGCTCAAGCGGCTCGCCCTCGACTGCGTGCACTTCGACCGCGACCAGCGACCGCTGTTCCGGCAGATCCTCGCCTCGCTCGAGGCCATGCTGCGCGCCATGCCCAAGATCACCAGGTGCCCGCTCCATGCATACGCCCCGCAGGCGCTCAAGCGGCTCTTACTCGACTGCGTGCACTTCGACCGCGACCAGCGACCGCTGTTCCGGCAGATCCTCGCCTCGCTCGAGGCCATGCTGCGCGCCATGCCCAAGATCACCAGGTGCCCGCTCCATGCATACGCCCCGCAGGCGCTCAAGCGGCTCGCCCTCGACTGCGTGCACTTCGACCGCGACCAGCGACCGCTGTTCCGGCAGATCCTCGCCTCGCTCGAGGCCATGCTGCGCGCCATGCCCAAGATCACCAGGTGCCCGCTCCATGCATACGCCCCGCAGGCGCTCAAGCGGCTCGCCCTCGACTGCGTGCACTTCGACTTCGACTTGCATAGAGCAGACACGCGTGGAGCAGCGCCTGCTCCTATAATCTGCTCGGTTCCTTATACAAAACTAGCGGCCCGCCCTCGCTTCGCTTCGGTGTAGAGCTGAAGTGTAGACTACAATTTCTGTTCTCAGGCTTGTATTATACACAATGACATTCAGCTATGATTCTTCTTATACCTGCATGCAAAGTCTCAGCCCGATCAGTTTAAAATTGACAGTTTCATACAAACTTTCGTTCCCTATTTTATCCCCTTGGGGGTAGAATTGATCAAAATCCTTTCTTAGCGGATGCCTATGATATTTCCCTGAAGCGCACTATATACACACTGACATTGTAACGGCCAAATGTAGTGCCTCGGATGGAATTAAGATCTTATCATCTGCAAGAATAACAATATGCCAGTAAGGCATATTCTCATTCTTGCTTGTTCGCTAGCCATGTACATAGAAGAAGGAGTACCTTCTTCTATGTACACGACTAGCGAACAGTCATACGGCTGCGTTGATGGTAAGCGACTACCATATCCTGTAAACAGTTGCGGTACCAAAATTTCACGAACCTTGTGAAACCCCGAAACCTTCTTATTCGACATAACATAAAATATATACATTGTAATACTTCTTTCTAAAATTAGCAACATTTAATGTCAATAAGTAGCAATAATTATTATCGAGGATGGCGGTCGACCCCCGATCGCCCCCTCCCCTGAATTCCCTGCCTTTCTATATTGTATTAATAGCTAATAAATAAATGTTTAAAGAAAATATAACTAGAAGTATTAGAATTTCGACGCGGCCGTCAGGGCCGCGGTAGCATAATTGGTCAGTGCATTCGCCCGGATTGCGAAGTGTGCGGGTTCGAGTCCCGTCTGCTTAAAAAATAAAAATTTTATTAATGTCAATCCGTCATCTTTGTTTGTTAAAGTTGCTTGACATAGGATGCGCACTAAAACGTAACGAGGTCATTCATCGATAGATTTTACTCTTCACATTTTTCTCATACCGGGCCCCTTATATATGCAAATCGATTCTTAAGGAGTAAACTCCAAAAATTATATATAAATGTTTGATCATTCAGGTCGGCGTCAGAACCAAATGTGAACCGTCAGTTGCACGCGTCGGACGATTATCTCAGCTACAGCTGCGCCTCCCCTAAGACGCCAGTCAACTTCCAGTTCAACGCCGACACCAGCTTCCCCGCCTTCTACGGGTGAGATATATTATACACACACACACGCACACACACACACACGTACGCACACACGCGCACACACACATACACACAGATGCACATACACACATATGCACATACACACATATGCACATACACACATACATACACACACACACACACACACATACACACACACACCACACACATACACACACACACACACACACACACATACACACACACACACCAGAAAACTAACTGTTCAGCATTTGGATCAGTTGATTTAATGTTTACGTCACATGTCAGTAATTAAAGTATAAGGACATGATAAAGTTTTGTATGAGCGGCTGCCCTGACAATGTATAAATACTGTACTTAGTAATATATAATGGTAAATGGCTGATTTCTATATTTATAATTTCTATGAAAAAAGGCTCAGGAACTTTTGATAAAGTCACAATCTTGAAAATTATGAGAATTCCTATTATGTCATTACCTTACTACAGTTGATAAGAGATGTTGCTAATTATTTACAGTCATCAATTTCGCATTTTCTTAGAATCTTTCTACCCATTTCTCTGATTAACTCTTCACAAAAAGCTTTTTTAAAGCAAAAATAAATACCAATAAGTTGTTATCATCGGCCTGACAGGACAGCTGTGAAGTTTTATTTTGTCCATTTTCAAAAATTAAAGGATTAATTATCATACAGCCTTATCTCAAGCCTGATCAGAAAAATAAAATCTATTATTTTAGGCCTGCAATGATTTTTTAATATAAAAATTAGGGCTAAATATATCGTAGTTTGAGGGAGTTTAGAAATAATATTGTTTATTTCGATATACTTACACAAATATTTTTTGTGTATGTTTATTGTTCACTTATTTTGTAAAACGGAACATTTTGCTTTTGAAACAGACATGAAGTCAATTTTTATACTTTTAAATAATTGATAATAAAATTTTGATTATTTCACGAAAGTTGTATGAGAATAATAAACACGTAATAATTAATAAAAAAATATTGTAAATTTACGGGCTAATGCGAAATATGTATACACGTTAAGTGCAGTTTCTTAGCCATGTCCTTTTAATTTATTTGTTTCTTAGGTTTTCACACACATCACTCAAAACTGTCAAACTTTTAATCGTCAAAACTTATAGCTGTTAACTCTGTTGTTTATATTTCCCCCAGAATCCCGGTACCGAACCAGAGGCACCCGTAGGGTTTGCTGTAGGACTACGACTAGTCCGCCGCGTCGCCTTCTCGTCCCGACCTCGTCGCCTTCTCGACCCGACCTCGTCCCGACCTCGTCGCCTTCTCGACCCGACCTCGTCCCGACCGCGTCGCCTTCTCGACCCGACCTCGTCCCGACGGCGTCACCTTCTCGTCCCGACCGCGTCACCTTCACGTCCCGACCGCGTCACTATCTCGTCCCGACCGCGTCGTCTTCTCGTCCCGACGGCGTCGCCTTCTCGTCCCGGCCGCGTCACCTTCTCGTCCCGACCGCGTCACCTTCACGTCCCGACCGCGTCACTATCTCGTCCCGGCCTCGTCCCGACCGCGTCGTCTTCTCGTCCCGACGGCGTCACCTTCTCGTCCCGGCCTCGTCCCGACCGGGTCGCCTTCTCGTTACGGCTTCGCCGCCGGCTCGCCCCAGCCTCGCAGTCGTCGCGGCCGCGTCACAGCTTCGCTCCAGCCTCACCACTTACGTATACTAGTACCGCAACAATAAATTACTTTGCTATTGTTCGTTGGGGTATTCTAGAGCTTATAAATAATAATTTATTTATTGTATAACACCGCAAAGGACACAAAAGGATTTTACAATGACAGAGAGACATTACACAATGAGCGGCCTTATTGCTACATAGCGATCTCTGCCAAATAACCCATGATTGAAAATTGGTTTATAGGAAAAAATACTTACGAATATGTTGCAGTTGAAAAATTAAAATATAAATTGCACGAACAGAAATTTGTATAAATGTCTTTTTTTTATTTGTTGTGGTCAATCAAATTGTGTGCTTAGAATTGAAAAAGAGAAAGAATCTACCGTGCATGCATTTTAGTAAGTTTCGGAACAGGCACTCTTCTAAACCCGGATAGGAGCGGGGGAGACGTAACCTAGATTGTAATTGGTCAGAATACATATGCGTCATAAATAAGGGTTGGGATGAAGCACGATTTTGTTATCGAGAATCTGGTAAATTGCCACCAAGTGGTCATTTTTTTAAATGCAGCTGCACATAAGATTCACAAGTGATTGGGAAATGTTGAGCCTGTGGATGTAACCAGAGGCCCAAGCTTGAATTTTGACAGTTCTGTAATCGTATGGCAACCTCAAAAATTCTATGAAGACTGTAAGAACAAACTAGATTTTTCCATACTTAGGGTGTATTCCGAAACATACATCTGGCCAGTGGTAAAGACGTCACGAATCCGACGCCATATTGTACTGGTATGGTACCATATTTTTACCGGGAAAACGAATATGACGCATGACCGAGTGTGCGTGAGATGCATTCGAATTTTATTTCTTTTTTATTTAAAGAAAAATAATGGCATCCGAACAAAAAGAATTCCTTTTAATTGATGAGGTGAATAAAAAATCTACTTTCTTCGCACTACTCTTAATATTTCGTCGATTTATGACGTCAGTGCACTGGCCTGTATATTTCGGAACAACTCACCAGTATGGCGTCGATTCATGACGTCATTAGCACTGGCCAGTATACTGGTATATATTACGGAATACACCCAAAATATGACGATGACGACACGATTACGGAACTGTCAAAACTCGTGCATGCACCTCTTGATATGTTGACGACTGTACAACGTAACTTATTATTGTGGTACTATTGTAAGCCATCGCGATCGCTTCAACACTGCATTCCTGCTAAATGACGCTCGCTCGCTGAGGAGCTCGATGGCGCAGGTGGCTAGCGCGTTCGGCTGCGATCGTTAAAGTTAAGCAACTTTCGCAGTGGTCGGTCATTGGATGGGTGACCAAAAATTTACTATCTCGAGCTCCTCCGTGCTTCGGAAGGCACGTTAAGCCGTTGGTCCCGGCTGCATTTGCAGTCGTTAGCACCCAACAATCCGAACTGGGCCCGCGTGGTGGGTCATGGCCCAATCTCCCTATTCCATCCATAGGGAAGGCCTGTGCCCCAGCAGTGGGGACATTAATAGGCTGATGATGATGATGATGATGACGCTCGCTCCAGGCAGTGCCCCGAATGTTTTACGATTAGCGCTAATTATAAGATTCCTTTGGCATATTATACCTTTTTTAATTTCGGTGATATGTTCACACGAATTATTAAAAATAAATCTTAAATATCTTGTAGAAAGCAACTCAACGATTCTTCACTTTGTATCGAGAATGTTCTAGTAACATGCGTCTCAGGTTTCTCCATATTTCGTTCGTTGCGACTTTATTTAACGAAAATTGCTTCATAAATGTGACTTGGTTTTGGCTGCATGTTCCTCACTGTTAAACTGCCAGTATTTTTTTAATAAATTATTTTCATAATGTTGGCATCCGCGGCAAAATGATTTACAATCTCGTAAGTACCCTTGCTATCAGCGAAAGAGGCTGATGGAGATAATGGAGAAATTTTAGTAGGATTGTTTTGAGTTTTTTTACTTTGGCGCGGAAGGGATTTAAAAAGCGAAGGAGGATTCTGAAACAGCTTTTTGCCAACATTTAAACAGTCTTATTTAAAAAAAAATCAATCACTCCAGATTAAATTAAACGATTAAAAAAACCGGTATATTTGAATAAATTAAAATTTGGAGTGACTATAAAATTTATTAAAATAAAACTTTTTTTTAAATTATTACTTTGGATGTTTTAATGTTGGCAATAAGCTGTTTCAGAAGTTTGGTTAGCGGTTATAAAGCATGCGTGCAGATAAAAAAAATTATATCCTAGTTGAGAAACTGTTTTTCGGTTTCGCGATGTTTTTGCTGTACAAACATGTGCGAATATTGACAGCAATTCTGTGCGAGTGAGAAGCTAATAGGAGCGCCGCCATATTGAAATTCCGTTATTTATGGGATCGAGTTATATTTCAGTTGGGATGACAGTCGCCTGTAAAACGAAAGACCACGGGTTAAGCCTGAAACATATTGACGTGTCGTGGCGTGACGTGGCGCATCGGTTTCATACATTTATTATGGGTTAGAGAGAGATAGAGAGGTTAGAGCGTCGACACAACACGACAAGTAAATATGTCTCTAACTATAGTAAATGTATGAAACCGATGTGCTTCTGGCGCACACGACACGACACGTTAATATGTTTCTGGCTTTGGACAGAGTTTATTTTTTAGAGTATTTCCTAATATTTATATTTGTTGACGTAAAGTGAGGAACATCGAAACGCTTGCTTGGTGTAATTAAGTTGTTATGAGTTTCGCGTTTTATGCACTGCATATCTTTTGCGTTCTTCAAATGAAGATGACTGAATTAGAAGTGATCCTGGACTGCTTATTATTTTTTAATAAATGTATTGAATAGTTGCTCGCCGCAGTGAACTGACGCAGTTGTTATTATAAAAATTGACATGAATAAATTGCGGCTTTGTATCGAAATTCTAGCTATGTTTAGGATCTACGTCCCACAGAGTAATTTTCGTTATCGCTAATTAAGTATTGTTGTATGTATTTTTCATATTTAATTTGTCACAGCTAGACTATGAAAATACTAAAAATTTCATGTCATTGAAGCTATTGTTAGAATATTGTAAAGTGAAAATGTTCTTTCTGCGCATTGGAATAGAATACAAAGTCGCCTGTATTTATTTGATTACAAGTATTATTTATTTGATTCTAAGATCCGGTCGCACTGCGGCATCCTTCGACATGAGTCGTATAGTATCAAAGGCGGCAAAGTAGGGTAAACCAAATATTGGCAAATCAAAAAAATAACTGTTTAGTCTCGACTTTAAGGGAGGATAAAATATTGACATTTCACTACGATTTGTAGTTATGATGAATGTCAATTATAAAAATCCTCCCTTAAAGACGAGACTAAACAGTTTTTTTTGATTTGCCAAATATTTGGTTCGAGTTACTTTGCCGCCTTTGATACTATAAGACTCACATGGAATGTATTCATAATAATTATTGTAAATAAAATTAATTGTAATTAAACTTGTAGCTTAATGTCTGATGGTAAGGATCTTGTGTATACAGTATAATTAATTTTAACGCATAAATATTGACTCTAAGGAACACAATAAATTATTGTTTCAATTTGGCCTTTTTTTTCAAATCTTAATCCTTTTTACAGCGTAACCATTTGCGTCAACGTTATTGAAATAGCAGTAATCATACTTAGAATTTGCCTTTTCTACTTTTCAATATCACTATTGTGGTAAAGAAGCTTTAAGTGCTTAGTCAAAGTCAAAATTTCTTTATTAATTTAGGTACAATTTGCACACTTATGAAAGTCAAATTGGATGCCATCGGTTCAAGAGTCTAACAGAAGGCCTTGTCTGAGAAGAACCGGCAAGAAACTCGGCAAGTTTTGTCCTCCCTTTACATTTTCTATTTTTATATATCGTCGTTGCGACTTCAAGACCTCCTATGTGTAATTTTTGTCGAAATACCTTTTTTATACGGGTTTATTTAAAATTTTGGCGCTACATCGAAAGCAAGAACACACATGTGAATAAGTCTTTCCAATTTCTATTTATTTACTTTATTCAATATATCCTAAGTGCTTGCTCAATGAAAGTTGGCATTTAAAATATCTTATGTGTAAAAACGCTAGATAGGTTGGCTAGTTTGCCGACAAACTGCGTTGCAATTTGGCAGATATAACGTAATTTTACATGTAAATTTTTTGATTGATGAATAAATAAATAAAAAAAAAAGGTAAAAATTGTTATTGGTCAAATTTTCAAACTAACTAACCAATAGAAGCACTGGAATGAGGGATGCATAGATCGCGTGATTATTTTCCGATTGTAGGTGTTAGATGGGGATAGTAATATAAAAATTACGTTAGCTTCGACGGGTTCTCGCTCTGTGGTTAAATTGTGGTTATAACAGTCGATGTGAAAGTGTATTGCTTGCTCCAAAGCTGCAAAGTGTGAAGAGGCCATGATGGAGGGAGTGAATGCAACCCTGGAAGCTGTTTCCCTCTGGGGTGAAGCCAACTTGGTTGGATTCAATCCCTCTAAAACACAGGCCTGTCTCTTCTCGACGAAACGGAGTCCATTCCACATGGTCTTACTTTCCGAAATGTCTCCGTACAGACCATCTCGAGCTCTTAGGTCTGGATATCTTAGTCATCCTCAATTTCGGTCGCTACATCGAGTCCATTGCTAAAACCGCTGCCAAAAAACTTGGAATACTTTCTAAGGCCAGGCGATATTTTCTCTCCTCATTCT